TGCAGCTCAGCCTCTTGGCCTCCTCCTCTGGAATGGGCAAGTGTCTCCAGAACATAAGTGGCCTTAAATGCTCATTCCTTTGGGTATTAGTTTTCTCCCAGATCTCGGTTCTATAATTTTTCACTTTCTTGTTAATTTGCTTATATCTCCAAACAGGTGTTTTTCATATTTCAACTAGCTGTTTTAGTAGTCTTAGGACAAATTACATAGTCTGCTATTAGTGAAATGTTTAATCTCTTATTAAGACTTTCATTTTAAATTTTCCTGACTATTTGTTTCAAGAAATGCTATTCAGATGTTATCTTCTGTGAATTTCGTGTTCATATCTTCGCTCATATTTTTCCTTGTAAAAGCAATTTTTCTTTCTTTTTTGTTTATAGACTTAATTTATTTTTAGAGAGAGGGGAAGGGAAGGAGAAACAGAGGGAGAGAAACATCAATGTGTGGTTGCCTCTCATGTGCCCCCTACTGGGGACCTGGCCTACAACCCAGGCATGTGCCCTGACCTGGAATCAAACCAGTAACCTTTCAGTTCATAAGCCAGTGCTCGATGCACTGACCCACACCAGCCAGGACTAAAAGCGATTTTTAGAAGTTCTTTATGAAGCATGGATTCTGATAGCATCTGTCGCTTATCTTTTCAGTTAGTTAATGGTGTCTTCTGTAAACAGAATTTTTCAGTTTTTATTTAAATTAATGCAACTTAATCAGTTTTTTTTCATAGTTCATACATTTTGGATTTTGTTTAAGAAATTCTCCCTTACCCTGAGGTCATACAAAATATATATGTAAATATATTTTAATGTATATTTGAATAAAAATATATTTATAAACACACACACATATTTATAATATTTTATATTTTAAAGATGTACTTTTCATAGATGTTTTAGTCATGAAAAACTTTATTTTTTATGTATGGTGAAGTAGGGGATGTAACTGAAAAATTTTATATGAATAATTTAATAGAATAATCCATGATTTCAGCACTGCACTGAAGATCTCCATTCTGTTCTTTGGGTCTATATGTCTCTCCTAGCACACTGCCTTTATTACTTTAACTGAGTTAATACAATTTATTTTCTGGCTTGACAACTCTCCCCTTAAGATATTTATTGTTTTTGACCCAGTACAACTCTGCCACTGTAGTTGGTTTAGAAGAATGACCTGTGTAGCTCAGTGACCTGGAGCTGACAGCTTGAGTTCTTGGGCAGAAATCCAAAGCACTTATTTAAGGGGAATACATTTTTCTGACTGAATTTCATGACACGTTATGAGGTGTCCTTTGACTCTGTGCTGCCTCTTTTTCCCTCTTTGCCACTGTAGGATCCTCCCCGTCTAGGTCTGTCTGGGCTGAGAACGCTGTCTTCACAGGGAGGTGGGAGGCTCTCAGGCTGTGGAGGAATCAGAGCTTAATGGTGGCAGCCAGACCCAGTCACAGGGCCAACCTAGACTTGGAGGGCTGTTGGCTTTGGCCTGGGGTGCTCCCAGCCTTCAGCCATTGCCATGGCATATCCTCTGGTTTGGCCCCATCAGAGAGTCATCTGCAGAATACTCGGCATTGATTCACTTTAAAAACTCTAAGTAGATTCCATCTACCTTAGCTTCATTTGAGCAATGATAGCTATAATCATTATGCATGTAATCATGTATATATTAATGCAAATTGTGTTCCATTAAAATGGTCTGGTACCACCAGGAGTGTCTGTGTTAGGCATATACATATTCATTTTCTATTAGTTAATTTTTATATTGACCTCTTTGTCTGAAACTAATTGTGGTGTATCATGTCTTAACTGTCTTAGCTTTAGAACAGATTCAAATCTGGAAGGGCCACTCACCCCCCATTTATTCTTTTTTCCCTAGTATTTCCTTTAATTCAAATTAAAATAAAAAACACTGTTTATTCTTCTAGATGAACAATCATTTTGTAAAGGTTCAAAAATTGCCTGGATTTTGACTTGGTATTGTATTAGACCTACACATTGATTTGGAAAAAATATAATGCTATGAAATTTTTTATTTCTTCCATTCAAAAACATTTCTCTCTGCTTATTCAAGTCTTCTATATTCTCAGTGCAGCTTTATTTTATTTTCTTCCATATAAATCCCCTGGATTTTGTTGGTTTCAAAAAACTTGCTGCAATTGAGAATAGCATCCTTTTTATGATTAAAATTGTGCAACTTTATTGCCAATACCTAATAATGCTATTGAAATTTGAGTTCTTAAATCTGCTCTTTATTAACTTGGATATCCAGTTGTTCTCTTTGTATTTTAAGGTGTACAATGATATTATCAGCAATATGGACAATTTTGTCTTTTTCAACATTTATACTTTGATCTGTTTCTGGGCAGTGCTTTATAGTGAACATGAAATGATAATGGAGGGAGGGCATGTTAGATAAGCCATTGAGCAGTGTGCTTACTATGACCCCCTCACTGCACTGAAAAATACAAATATATATACACATACACATAGACAGGGGTAGGCCACATAGTTTACAAATAATACAATAACTAATAAATAATACAAGCATAAACTCTGTGTTTTGTGTACTCACAAGTGTAAACCTACTTTTGCCCACCACTTTGTGTGTGTATTGGCCTGACAGAGACAGTATTTATAGCGGCTGAGTGGCATAATTTGGTTGAATATCTACTTTTTGTTTGTCCATATTTTCTAATCATTCTTGAAGGTCATGTATTATTTAGGTAATTCAAAAGTTAGTGGCAATTTTAACACATTTTGTGTCCCTATTAGGTGGATTATGTTGGCTGTGGGTTGAAATAGCTATTTTTTATATGCTAAGGATATCTTCTATCTTTAAAAAAGTTATTGTTTGCTTTTAAATTAGAACTCATGTTGAATTTTGTGAAATGTTTCTTTTTGGCTGCTGCAAAGATGATCAGATGGTTTTTCTTTTTTGTAATGGAAATATTTTTATATATATAATAAAATGCACAGATCTTAGGTGTTCAGTTTGATGTGTTTTCACATATTGTATACACCTTATAACCACCACCCCAAACAAGAAATAGAACATTTCCACCACCCAAGACAGTTTTAGAGGAAATTCTGTGGTGAGGTGTTGTGCTTTGTGTACAGTGTGGGTTTACCCATCTCCAGCCTCAGTTTAACATCTCGAGGGCCTGGAGCCACATGGGAGGCCCCAACAGGCTGTCTCCTCTGAAGCTGTTCATCAGTCCAGGCTGGTGGCAGAAGAGAGCTGGATTCTCTGCATGCAAGTGGTGAGGGCAAGGTGGAGCTAAAGCTGCTTTCTGGGATGTGAAGAGGGAAATGGCAGCAGTAGTGATGCTTTTAGTGGTCCAGCCTAAGAATGTGTCTGTGGCAAAACTGTTTCTGGGTACCACACCATGCAAGGTTAAGATGGGGGAGGATCATGGAAAGCAGATATCATGGGTGCAGGATCCCCGACACTGCCAAAACCATGGGATTTTGGCTGCAGGCCCCATGGCTTGTGCTCATTCCTTGATAAAGTCAGGTGCCACCTATTGGAACATTCTCTCCTGGAGCACCTTTGCCCTTGGCTGGGTTGCTAGTTTGAACTACTACATTGTCATTAGGGAGCTTGCTACCTCAGGACACTCAAGGTTACTACCCTCTATGCTGCACCAATCTTGTTGCAGTCTTTTTGCAGATTCCCAGTCTCTGCAGCAGCAGTTCATGGAATGATACCTGGTGTTGTTTATTCAGCTTATCATATGACTGTAAACTGGGAAAATTACAGAAATACATGTTTCTATTCCTTTCTACCAGCTTAATATTGGCATGCTGGGTGTGTTTTCAATGCCACAAAGTGTGGAAAATAAGCTTCATAGTAGACTATGCTTTTGGTGCTCTCTCCATTGAGGGTAAGAAGTCTGCAGGAAGATGACTTGGGGTTCCATGAATCAAAAGGCCAGGGGCTCAATTTCTTATGCCTAAATATAGACTCTACTATATATTTTTGGTAGCATGAAGTTTACTTGGGTCAAGCAATTAAACTCCTAGTGTATGTTTCCTTAATATGTGTCTTTTTAGTGTGAGCTGTGAGCACTTTTGGGTTGGGCTATTTTGGGGGGTATGTGTGTTTGGACACATGCAAGTGTGGGTGTCTAAAGGCACCATGGTTCTTTGCTTGGGCAGAGCCTAGGACAAGGACAGAGAAGGGAGGGTGTAAAGTAGGTCATTGAGGCATGTGAGGGGCTGCATCTCAGACTTCAGGAAACCACCAAAGCAAACCACCCAACAGCAAGGCTTCCTCTTGAGGCTTTCTCTGCAGTGTCAAACAAGCAGCATGTTTTCCCTCTTAAAAAAAAACAACAGAAACTTGAAGCTATTTTAAGTCTACATTCAAATGCAAACAACTGAACTTGAACAGCTCTTGTGCCACAGTCTGCACCAGCCTCCTGGAGGCTGAAACTGCCAGGGTGGACCCTGGGAACGTGAGAGCTGTCCCAGACCTTTATGGGAGGGAGAGGAACTTCCTCTCCCTCTAGCCCTTGTGTGGTTTGTCCCCAACCTGTTTGGCCTGCAATCTGAGGAGACAACTACCTTTTCATGTTTTATACATTTTATTCATACATTTCTCCAACTTTGAAATGACAAAAGCCCAATTCTATGGTTTCCCATTACACAGCATCCTACAAGTATGTATATGCTACAAAGAATACTATGAAGATTCTCTTCCTCCCCTGTCACATAAGAGATAACTGATTAGGGTTCCATCGACTTGTACTGTCTGGCAGTGCACCAGCGTTCTGGTAGTTCTGGCGACAGGGCAAAGGGATCAGGGCGGGAGGGCGTGTGCTAAGGCATGTAAATAGATACACACAGAGAGAAAGAAAAGTGGGACATTTACAGAGAATCTGAACCTTTCCGATCCCTTCACCTCCTGGGTGTTGGAGGACACCTCCTGCACAAACGCTCTTGCACGCTAAGGCTTTGCTGTACCCTGCAAATAGTTACAATTGGATACGGTGAAGTATACAACAACCATTAACATCGCTCTCTTTTTATCACTGAGACAATACTTCAAAACCTTTTATAAAAAGGCAATTATACATACAGAAAAAGAATGCATTGGCAAAACTATATGCAAAACAACCCCAGTACTGAGTTTGAATGGCGACGCACCTGCATTGCAATTAAACGTGATACTCTGGTCTGAGCACGTGAGGCTTGTGTGGCCTTTGCTTCAGTCACCCTGCTTGCTGCCCCTGCAGCCTACAACCTGCCTGCATGGGTGCCATTCCAGGACACAGGTGAGCTGCAAATCAATTCCTCTAATTCCTGGTGTCTTCAAAATGGGAAAAACAATAGGTGGGATGACTCACTGTGGAGGAATGCCTATTTCTACTCCCAAACAGACCTCCTTCTAAGAGAGTGCACATCCTGTGTGTCCTGAGGTAATCACACCTCCAGACCTCTCTTGGTGAGAACGCTGACACACTCCTTACATCACGTGCCAGAGAGACTGGAACTAAATACATATGTGACAGCAAAGTTCCAAGTTTCTGAGCACACACAGATATGAAGTTTTGTTTGGGGCCAGAAATGAGGTCTCTTGTGTGGTGACAAACATCTCTTTCCATTTTCTTTTGCTCGGTCCATTTGCACAGGTTCAATAGAGTTGATGGAGGGAGTTAGGTGAGAGGTGGTGGGAGCTCTGGCTTTTCAACTCCCCCCAGGAGCGAAGATTTGGCAGTGCCTCTTCTAGAGATGGTGAGGCCCTCCTCCTCTCTCTGTGGGATGGGTCTGCCAGCCTTCTGCAGCCCAAGAGTGGTGGAGAAAAGACCAGATAAAAGGGATGTGGACTGGTGAGCATACTATTCTCCCTCTCTTCTACTTTCTGTACATGTCACAGCTAAACTTCTCTCACTAAGCTGGAAGATCTGAGTCTTCCAATTGCTCCAAGTTTAAGGCGAACTGATAAGTGAGTGTGGGCAAAGCCAATCAAGCATCAAACCTTCTGGGCATAGTCCTGTAACTGAAGACACCACGTGGAGAGGAAAACCTTACTTCTAAAGGGTAACAAGAGGAAAAGTTCTATTAAATAAGATGATTCACAATTAAAGCTTGTAGCCCTTGTGTAAGCTGCAGCGAGAAGCAAAGTATCTTTCGAAGAGGAGAATTAATTAAGAGGCATAGAACAAGAGAAAAGCGCTCAGGGACCTTTTAACCTATGGCATGCTGTAATCAGCCTCAGTATCAAAGCCCTTGTAAAGAGGATGGAATTAGGAGGCTGTGCTCAGTTCTAGAAAAACAAACCCTTTCCCAGCTCCCCAATGCATACACACATACACCAGCTTGATAGGAAACAAGGAGGAGGAATGAGGACCTTAGGGGCTTGTTTTGGAATGCCGATTGCACGGTGCCTTCTCCTCTTGCCAAGGAGACAGTGTGGGAGGCATTATTATAATTAAGAATTTTTTAATCAAGAATTTTTCTTGCTAGCTATAGCAGCATGTCTCTCTGCCCCAAGTTAAGAGATGGACCTAAAAGGAAGAAAAGGACATCACGTTAATGGAATACAACAGATTGCTTGGGGCCACCTGTCCGTAAGGGGCAGTATCCACTCTGAGCATCTCTCCCATTCATCTTCCCCAAGGGTGGCTCAACTGGCTTCACTTTTTTAAGGGATGAAATCAAACCCTTAATTAACTACAAGCAATTTAAAAACAAAACCAACCCACTCTTCTCTGTGGTAGTGAGATCAAAGGTTTTACAAACACAATTGCAGCACTGAGCCTGAGCCCGACTGGTTGGCTCCAGCAGTGCGAAATGGAACTGGACTTGGGGATGGAAGAGCACTTGCTGCCTCCTTCGTGCAGTGATGCCTTTGCACCATCTTTAGATCCTCTGCCACCAATAGAATGGGCTCAGGAAAGAGGCCTTCTGAATTTGAATAGCAAGAAGTAGGTCATCCATTTCTTTTCTTCTCTGAGCAAATATTTTAAACTATCTCACCTGACAGGAGATACACTTAATTGCATTTTAAAGGGCTGCCATACTAACTTGACACTGGGAAACTTCTAGATGAACTGACATTTTCCTTTTTAGTGTTAAAATTGAATACGCTGCATGTGCAAAGTAATTACTGCTTTATGATAAAAAAATCAGGATATTTCTTCTTTTTAACAAATAATTCAGTGCATTAAAAAGACCTCTTCTTTTTTCTGTGGGGAGGGGGCCTGGGGTAGGACAGAGAACCCCCAGAATGTGGCTGATTTAACCAGTGATAAAATCTAATAACCTAATCATTTCCTCTGGTATTCAAAAGGAAAAAAGGTGGTTTTGCTGACAGAATGGAAGCAATAAAGCAGCTTTTTAGCAATTTTCTCTGATTACTTAGCGGGACAACTGTAATGTAGTGGCAGCAGTAATGTACTGAAATTACCCTGAATTCAGATGTTTAAGTGTTTCCTGATAGATCTGCTTTAGAGAAGACGTGTATTAGTGGAATGGAATAGGTGACCTCTCTGAGAAGTCAGATAGAACGAGTTCTGGATGGAAGAATTCCGCCATTTACACAATGGCAAGAACAATGCCTATCCATACACTTCCCCAAGAATGCATAAAATGATCAGAAGAGAGGACCAGCACTATCATGCTTTTTCAGTTCTGGGACCACAGACATTTAAATTAGCATTGCTTTTCTCTTTCTCTGCTTGATCCACATTTATCAATGTGGTGGGTGGCTTAAGCCGGGCATTGTCAGCATCTCTGGAGATTTGGTCTAAAAGGGCAAGTGGGAGCATGGAGGTTTCTGCCAGAGGGAGTTTCTCTTCCCCATTTGTTAGTTGTATTTTTCTTTGTGCTTCATTGATAAAGAGGTAGAGTGGGCCCTTTCACACTGAGAAGAGCCTGGATTGTGGTCAGTACCATCACGGGAATGACTTGACATCAGACAGATTCAAATCAATCCTAACACAGCCCTAAACAACTCTCCAGGTTTCTCTCTCCATCCAGGATGTCTCTGGTATGGTGGTGTGGTCACCCTGCTAATGGAGCACCAACAGAAGCAGTTCACTTGACATCTTGTTGCTAAGTTGCAGATTCATCTGGTCACTGACAAAGGACAACATGAGAGAAAAAAATCAGCATCATTTAATAAGAGTAGGTGGGGAGTGATGACATTGTAAAAGGAATATGCAAATGTATTCTCTGTGTGGTCCTTTAAGAGGGGCTTTTCAGCTCAGAACACACCCTGCACATCCTGCCAAGGCACAAAGCGATGAGGCCATCTAACTGACAAGAAGCAAACATGATGGTATTTTTTTCAAGAATTACAGGTTAGTAGAACCACTTCACACACCCTGACACTTTAATGAAAAACCTTCCACTGACCTCTGGCAAGAGTCGGAAAATCCGCAGCCTGAATCCATTATATTGGAAGGATGTGGCTTCATGTAAGGGTGATGAGATGGTTAATGCCTCTAAAGCAACAAGGAAAGATGATTCTCCTGTGCCAAGGGATATAGCAAGAGGAAGGAAAAACCACAGATGGCCTCTCATACATTGGTGGCCCTTGGGTGCACTGCGTGTGCTCTGGGAGCCAGACATGGTTTGAGTTGTGCTCTGGAGGAGTATTTTGTTGTCCTGCCAACTGATAGTCACTCCTGGGCCTTCGATGGTTCATTGAGCATCTAATGAATAATAAAATCTCAAAGATTATCAGCCTGTATATCTGAACAAATCTATAATGAAATGAAGGATGCAAAGGCATTTAATTATTGAACACATAAAAGGAAGTATATTTTTAAAAAATTGGTCAAACTGTCCTGTTAGTTATCACTTTAAAGGAATTTACAGGGCTGTTATAGATTATTCTTTTGGAATAATTCAGTTTATAGCAAATGCCTAAACTGGTTTCTTCATTGCACAGTATATTCTCTTAAAATGGGTGCTTTAAAACAATTACATATTAAAAATCCTCATTTCTTTACTTAATTAAAACATTAATACTCTCAGACAACACAGATTTGAAATGGTGAAACCAGCAATTCCCCCTCCCACCTTACAACAAATTAAATTGAGACAAAATTACAAACACATTTCACTATATGATTATTAATAAAAATCAGTTTTGTTTTTTTATAAAGTTGCCCAAAATGCAAGGGATGTGCATAGGTTTTACAACTTAGTCATATAGCATTTTATTTATTCCCCTGGGTGTGCCCCGTGAACGGAATGTACTTGGCTGTAGATTACAGATCGTTTTGTCCAACACAGACACACCAACAGCATAAACGCTCGTGACTGTCCACATGCATTAAGAGTCAAGACCCAACTTCAAATCTCTAAAAGGTTTACAGGGTGCTTCAAAGAGACAGTATCACATTATCTGGATGTTACATAAAGGACTTAAAAAAAATACTATTCTAAAAAAAAGAAAGAGAAAAAAGGCCTTTAAAAATTTATGACTGTTTTGTAATCACTAGACTGATTATTTCAAATAAATAAAGGAAAGAAAGATATTCCAATCCATAAAATCAGACTCTAAAAAGAATGTAGTGTTCCACCCCCAGTCAAGGTAACAGAATCATTGTTTATTATTATTAAAATAGATTATAGAAAGCAGCATCTATTTTGTGCAGTTTTAGGGGCCTTGGAAATAAAAAGGCTATGATTTCCAAAAATATAACATTCCAAAGGATTGAATAATACATACATTTAAAGATACATTTTATTAAAGTTTAGGAGAACTGATTAAAAAAGATACTGTCTCTTTAAATTAGTGTGTAATTGTTTTTCTCCTCCTACCTATTCGGACATGACAATAATTATAAATGTAGGTCACACTACAACTAGGTAGTCTCTAGGGACCATGACCTGCTGACACAAGGTCGATAACAAAGAGGCGTTTCCATGTATGAGGTGGCTCCCAGTTATGCGTCAGATATCTGGGGATGGGCCTAATAGACCCAGGAGACTGGGACCCACTGAGGGGCTGTGCACACGAGCTCAACAGCTTCCTCCAGATGTCTGATTGTCTCATCAATTTCATTGTTGATAATTGTGAGATCGAAGTAGTGTGCATATGTTCTCTGTAGGATATCAGACTCCTTCTGCAGGCGCTGAAGAGATTCATCCTAAATGGTGATGGGATGGAGGCAGGGGTGGGCATGGGAGAGGGTAAAAACAAAGAGAAGAGAGAAGTCAGCTGGATTCTTTCCCTTTTCACATTTTTAGTCATCCCAGTGTCAGAAACAGTCAAGGCCAGATCATGATGCGTCATATCTGGGCAAAAGGCCGAGTCTGCTTCGTGACAGAGGAGATGGTGGTTCCCAGGATGGCAGGGTTACAGAACTACTGCTTCCAACCCAGACTGCTCACCATGCAACAAGGGGCTCCATGCCAAACCAGACGGACCAGAGAAAACACACACTCTTCAGCAAACACACTGCCCCACTGGGACTAGCTGTCCTGTCCCAGAGTCAGTAGGTGACTGACTAGCACAGCTGTGCTGTTCTGATCTCTTTTGTCTACGCCAGGCTCGACTCATCCCCAGCCACTCTCCTGGTCAGTGGGAGGACTTGGGTGATGCAGTCAGAACCCCACCTCTGCCTTCCCTTGGTCCTCTGACTCACTTTCACAAGGCCCTAGAGCCCTGCTGCATTTGCACCAAGAAGCCCCTGACTCAGGAAAACAAATTAAGTTGTGTTTTTCTCTTTTCTACTTAGAGGCTCAACATGTTCCAGAAATTCAATTACATATAATGGCACTCACCCAACGGCAGTGGGTGCCATAGGCAAAAGCTTTTTGGATGTTACAAATAATGGATGAAATAAGGCTATTACCCAGATACAACAGCAACTGGCATCTGATGAATCCCCTCAAATTGGTCTGTATTGGAAATGCCCAAATGTCACTGTTCATAAGTATGCAACTCTCTTATGGAAAACACTCTGAAGTAAAAGAAGTCACTGAATTCTAAGGAGTTTTGCAATAGTAAAGAACTTTCCCTCAACTCCCAGGGCTCGCTACAGCTTTTGAGAACTCTCAGCAGGGTGAGCCCACAGAAGGAGGAAATTCAGGATCCCTAGTTTGTCATGCAAGTCTCACTTTAGCCTCAGGATGGCAGTTCTTTCAAGACGATGGTCTCTTACAAATCAGCAGAAAGTCTGCCACTGCATTTCATGGTTCAGATCACGTTATGCTGAACATTCGATGGACATGTTCAAAATTGAAACCAGGGAACTTGGTAAGTCAAGTTAATTGTCCCCTTTTCTCCCAACACTAGGTAGGTGAGCTGTTGGGCTGAGTTTTAAAATATACATAGATACAATTAAATACCTGGTTATTAGATTCGGATCTCTTTCCCCACCTAGACCGTAAACTTGTCTTGTGTGTCCTGTGCTGTGCCCAGCACTTGGCATTGTGCCATGTACATGGTAAGTGCTTAATAAAGGTTATTGAAAGAACAAGCACTTGGCTGACTAGTGCTGGCCATTATAGGATGTGATGTGTGTTAAATCTATAATCAAGAGACAGAGTTGTTCTATCAGGAAATGAGGGCCTATGATGACATAGATGGAATTCCAGAAAAATTAAAACATGTGGTGCTTTCGGGGACTTGGAAGCCGTGCCACCCAGTGCTAACTTAGGACTCCTCCTCTTCTCTAAGGCCCATCTTTTATTTGTAAGAGACCCTTCCTGATGTGCCTGTGGGTGCAACTCTCTGGAAAGGGGATCCAAAGCGACACTTGATTGATTCCATCATGGCACCTCAGTGGGGGGACGGATACACACCAGGGAAGTTGGGAACTCCATCTTTTCTATGGGGACACTCAAATGAGAGTGTCCTACCTATTTTGTCATCTCCTACTGGAATTTCAAAGCAGGACATGGAATGCTTTGAATGTTAGGTGTTAACCACTACAGTGTTGATAAGACCTCAGTGAATCAATCACCTCCTAAGGTCATATTAACACACTTCTGCTTGCACTGAAAAAGCATAGTATTTTCACTGTGGCTTTACTTTACCAAAAACACAATGCAGTAGCTGCATTTTAGGAAACATGCATTCACCCAAGGATGAGTGCTTCCTACCAGTATGAGAAGGAATAATTCTTACATATTACTCTCTGGGATAGGGGACCCTATTGGAATATAAAGTCCTGGGCTTCAAAAACCACTAGTAGAGTTTATGATTTGCTCAGAAAGTTGGGCTGATAAAAACATGGAAGAAAATTTACAGCTGAGAGCACCAAATGTTTAAGGTAGTTCTCTTTATAAAAAAAATACAGCTCCCTGTTTGAAATCTTACAGGATGAAGCTATGTTTGTCACAGTTTCTTCCTTGACAACAGTTTATCTGCAGGCTTGGCTTACATGTGAGTATGATTTAATTCAGTGAAAACAAAATGCCTTTATTTTAACAGCAAAAGCAAGGATTTGTGGGAACAAAATGTCTACATTCTAAGTCTATGAAAGTAAACAAGGCTATATTTCATCACCTCCTAGCTGGTACTTACAGGCAATTTTCTGCACCATTTTGGCAGCTATGGAAAATTAGTAAAAGGGCAGGAAAACAGGCAAAAAACAAAAACAAAGCAAAGATGATAATTCAAGAAAAATACATGGCAACCAAAGGATAAGAACTAATCATAATGTGGAGTTTCAAACACGTTTATGTATTAAATGAGATAAAAAAGTAACATTCACAAAGGAATATCCCTTTTGCAAATGAAATGACAAAAAAATGAAATGTACATGAAGTGAAAATTTACATGCCTTGATTTTATTGTCATAAGCTTGGTAGTTAGGCCTGTGTTTACTGAACAGAGTCAAGAGCCCTCCAGTGGTTTCTTGACCTTGTAGAAGTAATGGTCTTCAGGATAACTTTGTGTAGAAGTCTTTTCTTAAGAATAATCCCCAAACTACCTTCTTATCTGCCTAGAAACAGAAGGCCTTCTAAGTCAGCCTGGCAGGAGACACGTGCAGCCAACTCTTGTAGCCACCATCTTTGTGGCAGCTGTAGACTTGAGTTGGCCTGATAGGGGGAAGAGTTTATTCCTAGGTTTGGAAGTTTCCAGGGGCATGGGTTCCACTCCAGAGGTTGCCTTGGGGAACCTGGACAGCCCTGTCAAGGTCATGAATTCCTTATAGCTGTCTTCAGGCAAAGCAATCCTTGGCCCAATCCCCATCAGGAGAGGAGCAGGCTGGCAGCCTTGGAGGGAGGGAGCTGCCTGGAAAGCCTCTGCCCTGGAAGGGTGAAGGGTTTTAAACTCTTTAAAGTAGACATTGATTAGGCCACAGGGTGACGGTGCTGGGAACTAAGGGTTGAATTTGCCTAATGACCTTGATCTTCGAAGAACCACACCTGTCTGTATGGCCTAATTCCTAACACTGAAAGAGGACCTCAAACTCTGGAAATGTTAATGGCCAGCATGAAGAACAAAGCAGAGCTTCGGTTAGTCATCTTAATAACATGAGGTTTGGGTCTTGAATGTACAACACAACTGGATCCTTACTATGGGTGGGTGTGTTAATTTGGGGAAAACACTGATCAACTCTTACCTCATTCAAACCTGGAGTAATAGTTGGAGCGGCAATAAAAACAACAAAAGGAGCAAATTCGGCAGTTCTCAGGACCTTCAGTGCCTGTGTAAAAACAAAACAAAACAAAACAAAACAAAACAATTGAGACTTAGAAGAAACAAGTAATACAACTTTCAAACAAGTCTACAAAAAATTTACACAGATGAAAAAGCTCTTGACTCAAATTTTTGGCAAGGGATTAAATTTACCAACTTTATAAATAACACATGACTCCCCTTTCTTCCAAAGGATAGAAAATAGCCATCAGCAAATAAAAGGTGACAAACTGGACATTTTTCTTATGCATCTCATGAATCAATATGACTTAATTTTTCTTCAGAAAAGTTAACACTGATTATGTTGGTTTAATGTTCACTTAAACCTGGTTATTAGTTGTAGCCTAAATTTTAATTTATACACAATGCATTTTGGGGTAGATTGGGACCAGCAGGCTGGCTTCACCACTGATCTAGAGTGCACTTCACATTTCAAATTTCAAATTGCTTAACAAGGATTAGCAAATCCTGCCACTGTCACTGTGAGGCTGTGTTCACAGCTTATGAATTGTCCTCATGAAAGGCCCCTGTGGAGCTTGGGGTGGGGGGACGGACACCCTCTCTAGAGCTGGAGTCTAGAGCCACTAAAGAAGCTTTGGCGCTATAGGCAATTCACAGGCCCATGAGAGGATACTACATTCAGGGGAGAGGGACCTCTGAAGCCTCTTTCAGCTCCCTTCCCAGGCATGAGAAACCTCTATGTGAGCTACGACTTAGTAGGGACATAGTGCAAAGCAGACAGCTAATGGTATAGCTAACAGTTGATTCTGGTAAGGGTTACTGCTTCAGCACCTCATGAGCACATGGCACTCCTAGAAGTTACAAAATCCCCTCTATTGGACAAAAACGTGTACAGGCACAGAATTCAGAAGTAACTGACATGTAATTCATTTGTATATATCAGGGGTAAATATCTTGCTGTCCTTTATACAAGAATTTAACATGTCTATTCCATTATCCACATAGTTTGCTTTCTAAATGGCCTTTTTATTGTTTGTTTTGTCATATTCCTTTACTCCTCTTTTTTTTTCTTGGTCTGGTTTACTGTAGTAGCAATTAGCAACCTGTTTCTCTGCCTCCAGTTTTGCTACATTCCAATACATACTAATCCCTGCCACCAGAATGATCTTTTGGAAACACAAATCCCAACATATCACTTCTCTGCTTCAAACCCTTTGACTGCCCCCTCTTGGCCTTGGGGTAAAAATGGATGGTCCTTAAGGTCAATGTCAGGTCCCTCCCTCGATAGCTGCTCCATGCTTACCTGTCAGCCTCTCTCTGCCCCTCCATGAACTGCCCTCGCCGAACTACTTTTACTTCAAGAGAACTACTTTTACTTCGAGAAAGGGCCAAATTTTCTCTGGCTTCCTGGCCTTTTTCTTAGGACTCCTTCTGCCTGGACCTTCTATCCCTTTGTCCCTACGCTCCTTTCTGCTTGGTTGAGTGTTTACTGAACAGAGTACTGATTTTTTTTTTGTCTAAAAAGTCCTTTGTGAGTTGTAAGCTGAGGTCAGGCGCCCTTCCCATGTGCTCCTGATGCACCCGCAGTACCCATCACACTGCAAATGTAGTGCCTGGATTTTCAGGGGCCGCATCTTGTTTAGTTATCTTCTTCATGTCCCAAATGGTACTTGCTGTAAACAGTCTGTATGATAAGATTAAAATGTAACACAGTATATACAATTTTCACAAAACCTATCTTGCCTTTCAAGGCAGGTTCGACTAGAGGGCACTATGCTTTCAGGGCTTAAGAGACTCTTGGCCTCCATGAATACACTGGCATATAAGAGGCAAATTGGATAACAAAGGGTTTGACTTTCTTTTTTAGTGCAAATTCACTTTCATTAGAATTATGTTTCTGAATTTTAGTTACACAGTGTTTCCTTGTGGGTTTAAGGAACCCGGCACATTGTTTTACCTGTCCACCAAAGTGTTTTAATTGTGAGTCACAGGTTCAGACTCCCCATGAGAGAAAGCTCTTCAAGCTTGCATATGTTCATGTTGGAAAGAGGTAATTGGCAGCTTATTTGCCAGTCCTTTCGTGAATGAAGACCTTAGCAAGGAACAAACTGTATATGAAAAAGTCCATAAATAGCTTAGTCGAACTTAACAGGGGTCTTCACTTAGAAATGGCCTTTTCCCCCCTGTCCTTCCTATGCTCATAAATCAGGGGAGACTATAAGTCAGTTGAAACGTAAGGTTTCCTCATCACTGTACACCCACCCATAGCCAGCCTTTGGGCAAATAAGATGGGAAAAAATTCCTAATGCAGAGTTCCTACCTTTGCTTCCATCCCTGAAGCTACTCCAAGTGCCAGATGGAAATCCACACAGCCTGGATGCTGAATGGAACTCACTGATGAAATTGAGAAGGACACTCTAGGCATGAAATGGTCTTTTCTCAGGAAGGAATCTGAGTCTCAAAACAATACAGTGGACCAGAAGGAAGATAGAATCAACCAAGCAGGAAAGCATGATGAAATAAGAATTCAAAAAATCGAGGAGAGCCTTGGGAACATCCAGGACACCTTTAAATGTTCCAACATTCGAATTATAGGGGTACCAGAAGGGGAAGAGCAACAAGTGGAAAAGTTATTTGAACAAATAATAAAGGAGAACTTCCCCAATCTGGCAAAGGAAACAGTCTTCCAAGAAATCCAAGAAGCTCAGAGAGCCCCCAAAGAAGTTGGACCCAAGAAGAAACACACCAAGGCACATCATAATTACATTAGCCAAGGTAAAAACGAAGGAGAGAATCCTAGAAGCAGCAAGAGATAAGGGGACAGCACCCTACAAAGGAGTTCCCATCAGACTGTCAGCTGATTTCTCCAAAGAGACCTTACAGGCAAGAAGGGGCTGGAAAGAAATATTCCAAGTCATGAAAGACAAGGACCTACATCCCAGATTGCTCTATCCAGCAAAGCTGTCATTTAGAATGGAAGGGAAGATAAAGTGCTTTTCAGATAAGGTCAAGTTAAAGGAGTTCATCATCACCAAGCCTTTATTTTATGAAATGCTAAAGGGACTTATCTAAGAAAAGAAGATAAAGAAAAGACATGTATAGTAAAAGGACAGCAAACTCACAATTATTAACAATTACACCTAAAGCAAAACCAAAAGAAACTAAGTAAACAACTAGAACAGGAACAGAACCACAGAAATGGAGGGCACATGGAGGGGCTAGCAACAGGGGGGGGTGGGAGGAGGGGAGGGGGGGGAAAGGTATAGAGAATAAGTAGCATAGAATGTAGGTTGAAAATAGATAGGGGGAGGGCAAGTATAGTACGGGAAAGGTAGAAGCTAAAGAACTCATAAGAATTGCACATGGAAGTGAACTAAAGGGGGGGGAACGTGGGTGGGAGAGGGGGTACAGGGTGGAGGGGAGGGAAGGGGGGAAAAGGGACAAATGTAATAGCATAATCAATAAATTAAAAAAAAAAGAAATGGTCTTTTCTCTGCTCAGTGACCCTGCCCCTGATAGCCACACAATTCTTCTGAATATTTTAACTTCTAGCCTGCTACCTACCATATTACAACACCAGAAAGCACACTACTCAGAAAACATTACCTCCCTGCAGATTATCCTTCTCTTCACACTGCATGCACCTTCTTTGTGTTTATCCATGAAGACACGAAGGTCATTCTGCACTTCCTGCATGAAACTGTCAATGAAGACTGTACTTATCACACTGTCAAATGCCTCTTGTGCTTAAGAATCAGGTTATAGTCCTTTAGCAATCAACTCCAAGGAAAGAACTAGCATACTTTATTAGATGAGAATTATGGGACCCAGGACATCCCCCTTTTTGTCCTGGTTGCCAGGAAGTTCAGAGCTAAATTTCACGTTTATCAGAGTAATTACTGTAGCTAGTGTGGTTAGCATATCTGCTTGACCCTCCTTTTCATGGCTTTAATTTTCTATCTCTATCCTATATTATCATATTTTTCCAAAAATTGTAAGATTCTTTGAATCCCAACTGAGATTTTTTTGTCTAGTCGCCCTTATATATTCAGTAGAGTTACCACACTTTTCCTCAATTGTTCTTGAAGGCTTCTGTCCCCATTCTCTGCTTAACTTAGGGGTCTCAAGTGGATGTCATTTTTTGCACAGTCTCAGCTTGCCTGAGGTTCAGGGGTACTTCAGGGACAGGAAATGAAATTGCTTCACAAGGGTTCCCTTCCCTCAGGCCGTTAATGGGTGACTTTAAGATGACCTTTAAATCCTTTTCCTTTCTGACTTTAGATGAGACATAAATCTGCTAGTTTTTATAGGCAAATGTCTCTTTTCTGAATTCCTGAGAGTCCAGAAAGATCTCTGAAAATACACTGGATTCAAACAGCCTAAGTAATGTAAATTCGACATTTAAAGCTAATTCTTCAGTTTTCTTTTGGGGAGATAAATTGATTATATGGCTCATCTATGGTCAATAATTAATCTCAGGTTACCATCTTCAAGGAATAAAAACTCATTTGACCAAGTATCTAAGATGCAGATATCTTTTAAGATTTATTTGGCTTGCAAACTTAAAAAGTACATAAGAGCAGGCACCTTAGTCATTTTGTAAAAAAATTCTAAGGGTTTCAGGAAGAGCACAGTGAGCCCAGAAAGAATCTTGAGAGCCAGCTGAGTTCACAAAATAGTCCCTGGTTGAGAACCTGGCTCTTGTTTTGAAGTACATATTCCTAATAAGACTGCAGCTGCACCTTGATGACAACCTTTCCCTTTGTGGGCAAAGCAAAACCCCAAACATTTGGCTACTCTTAACTTCTTAATGTAGCAAATGGATAAATCAGAATAAAATTTAATTTTAAAACCATCACAGTAAGTTTTTATTACAAACTGGAGCTATTACAGTTTCAGCTTTAGGGACATAAATTATTTTCTAAGTCAGGGGCCTAATTTCATGAAAAAATATGTTCTATACTATTCCCTAGGTTTGACTGTCTTCTAGACTTTTTGAAATAACGCCCCCCCCCCCCCAAGATTATACTTGTACCATTACAGGCAAGGTGGATCAGCTTAAGGATCCTCGGGGTTAACCCTTCTAAGACAACACAATGCAAGAAGGTTAGAATCAATTGTTAAAAAAAAAACAACTAAAACTAAAACTGTTCAAGTTCAAATCTCATTTTCAGTTGGCTGTAAAACCTTGGTCAAGTCATAATTATGTTAGGCCTTGGTTTCCTCATCTACAAAAGTAGATGCTGATATCTCTATCTTAGGGGTTACATGGGGAAGGTAAGGAGTACTAATGCTTGGCAAAATACAGAGCACTATTGGAACACAATCCATTATTATTTTAAAAGAAACTAGGTTATAATTTTTTTCTAGTTTAATGTCTTTATCACAGTCCTCTAGGTTTAAAGTTGGGCCACAATGTCTTATCACACATTATTATTAGACATGTGTTAAATTTGGCCTGAACTGTCTAAAATAAATCAAGATGGCACAGAGTATGAGACTTGAACTAAATGACCTGAATACCAGCATTAGGTGGGTACTTTCTATGGTCCACGCATAGTGGAAGTTGTGTCAGCATCAACAGAAGTGAGAAGGCTTTAAAAAAAATTCCACATGGCATTTCTCTTGTTATGGACAGTTTCTGATGTACATGGAAGAAGGAATGTCATCCTTACCAGCTTGCCTTCCTAGTTGTATTTTTAGCTCTTGACACAATGCTTGGGATATAGTAAATGCTTAACATAAGCTGGTTGAATCAAACTGTCCATGAGATACAGTAGAGGAGGTAACCTAGCAGGCTGCGTGGGGCAGGGAAGGGCATGGAGAAAAATGTCCTAAGGAGAGAGCCTCTCTGGAACAATGAAGCTCTGCCTGACAGCAAGTCAGTCATGGCCACAGGCATCCTGATGTTAGGATGCGGACCTTGCCAAGCCTGGGGGAGAGTGGACTGAAGGCAGAGAAGCCCCAGGGTGAAGCCCAGGAGGTGAGACACTGTGGGCATCTGCAGCTGTACTATCAGACATGATAGTCAGTGTGAAAGCAGGACTGGGCAGAAGTGTAGACTGGGCACATGTGGCACTGGGCAGGAGAGCCTGGGACCAGAGTTTTCAACCAGACCAATGAGAGGAACAGAACCTGAGCAACCCCTGTCCTCAGGGCCACAGGCCTGAGAGGCTCTGGCAGGGAACAGGGCACCTATGGCCTGTCTTCAGGGGTAGGTGGCCCTGATAGATCATGGTTCTCAGAAGTGGGGACACAGGAAGCAGGAGAGAAGAATGCAGTGAGCTCATCCAGCAGTCAGGGGGAGCAGGGAATGTGTCCAGCCTGGGATGATGGGTGCTCTGGTGCCCAGTGCCACATGTAAAAGTGACCGCTGTGAATGTCTTGATAAGGCTGAGAGAAGTGTCTCCCACTCAGCAGTGCAGAGCAATGCATGACTGTGCAAGGGGAGGGCACAGGTAGAGCTGGACACTAGGAGTGGAGTGGTGGCAGCAGCAGCAGCAGCAGCAGCGGTGGTGGTGGTGGCAGCAGTGGCAGCAGCAGGTAGGGCAGAAGCCCTCAAAAGTGGATTTAGGTAAATGCAGAGGGGTCTGAGGAGCCCTGTAGCCAGCATACTGCTAGAGACATTACTACCAGCAGAAAACGACGTTCAGGTGAAGACCAGTGTGGAACCCAAGGAGAGGATGTCGAAGACCAGGACCAGGATTGAGACTTTGCCTCTAGCCACCCCTGGCCAGAAGATTTTTCCAATCCCTAGTAAGGAGGGATTAGTAGTTAAACAGAAATCAGTCTGCATTATACATCATATATTTAGTTCTATATAGGTCCAAGATAATTGTTAAGTAAACTGTATAGTGTTCACCCTACTGGTGCTTTCCTCCCAGCCCCTTAACCAGATTCCAAGTTCAAGAAGCCCATCAGGTGCTGTGAAACAGAAATGGGTGAACCCACTGGCCATGATGTTAGGGTCTTGGCACTGAGTAACTGAGCTGTCAGGCCTCAGGTCACACAGATCCTGACTTCCTGACTGCAGGTTCCACCCTCCATTTGGGGATGGCTAGGGGACTAAGTCTCATACAGTGGCCCTTGAACAAGAATCTCTTCCTTGCCTGGAATAGCCAGGTAGCCCTCCTGATGAAACGGAGCTTGCTGAAGGGCTGCTGGTCTACCACTTCAGCAGGTGGCATACTGATTCTATTTATAAGTGATAAGGGATTTTTGGTACAAATGGGTCTTTAGAAATGGCAGCCCAGGAGTCACTGGACACACACAAGCCTCTCCTGCAGCCTGCCTTGATGTTTCCAACTCCCAAATCCTTCCTACTGGGCTTTAAGTCCCACTTCCACTTGGTTTGTCCTCAGAGAGGAAAATATACCTTATCTGCATTTTTGAAGTAAGGCCTTCGGATTTTTCCTTTGCAAGTTTAATAATTTCTATTGCTTCTGCTGTAGGACTTATCTACAAATCATCTAATCACCTCTGCATTTGGCTCCCTGAATCCTCTCCCAGTTCTTCATATCCTTCCTAGTTTTAGCTCAGGGTCAGGCACTTTTGGTAAAGAGATGACAGAGGCTGACCATCACCATGGGGCTCCATTCAGGCTCCACTGGACACCCCCAGGGCTGACTCACATTGTTTTCATAAAGCTAGTGCTGTGTTTCAGACTCAGGCCCCAGTGTCAGCGTTTCTCACTGAGAATTAACTTTAGATGTTGGCAGAGGCTCTGATGGTTCAGCATGAGCTGTCCTGAGATGTAAAGGTGGCTGTTGGGATAATAAAGTGCCACAGTCTCATCCTTAGTCATATTATTGTAGGATTTCTGGCAGGCACAGACTCAATCCAGTACTTTATAAAGAATCTCGTAAGAGAATAGTCTCTGTTTCTTAAACACTTGGTATGTGCCCTGAGTGTAGCCTAGATTGTTAACCTGTGATACCTTCATTACTGATACTTTCCTGGAGTTTATTCAGTTATTAAGCAACCCATGACGTCCTGATGGCATTTTTAATTTCAGAACCTGAGCTTAGCATGCAGGCAGGATGATGGGAGGCTGAGTGTGGCCAGACATTACCTGAGGCTCCACGTCCAGTATTGCAATGAGCCCCTGCTCGTGGATCTTCCGGATGGTCTCCAGTTTTGTCCCATACATTGCATCCTCGTGGCTGCCATACTCCAAGTACTCATTATTAGAGATGTCTTGCATCATTTGGTCATGAGATACAAAGTAATAATTCTTTCCATTTTCTTCATCTTTCTTTGGAGGTCTGGTTGTATCTGCAAAGTCACATGTCAAGAGAAGTTTAAAAGGCTGAGCTTATGAGCCTACATTTTCAATGGACCTACCAAAACCCTATCTCTTCTTAAAAGCTGTGGATTCCATAGTATATGCCTCATGCCCTGTTCCCACTCCCAGTAGCTTTGTAGAACTAAATTGTAGAAGTCACATTTATCTGTGTGATATCAGACCACAGTAGCTGGTTAGTTGTTTAGTTTGGCAAAACTTTCAGTGTTTAGATAAGATCTACTTCATTCCTTTCATGGGTCATCACATGAGAAAGACATAAATGACCCCAAATTAAGTTAACTCACTGTATGTCTTAATGCACTTAGGCAGAAGGAAAAAAAGAATTAAAAAAAAAAGGAAAAGTATATATGGTTTCTTAAATCTAAAATAATTAAAGTCACATAAATTAAAATTTCAGTTCCTCAATCTCACTAGCCACATTTCCAGAATTCAATAGCTGCATGTGTTGGGAATAAGGAAATTAAGAACTAAATTTAACCTTAGTAAACAAGAACCACATTGTAGCTAAAAAGAAATGATAAAAGAGACAAAGTGCAGTTAAGTAAACATCCTGTGTCGAGCAGATGCTCTCCCCTGGGTAGGCTAGATAAGCAATGCTTTGTAGTTTTAATGAGAAAATAAGAACCTAGGTAGCTAGAGCCAGGAGATTACTAGGTTAATGAACAAACATCCTGCCTTCCCGCCTTATGCAAGAACGCTTGATTTGAAATTCCCACGTGCGGTCTTTGTAAGCGAATTGCTAACTGCCACGTCTGCTTCTGTATAACGCTTGCTTGCCCGCCCCTATATAAGACCGTCGTTGTAAGCGCTCGGCTCGGCTTTCGTTTGCAGCTCCTTGTGGGCACTGTGTCGCTGGACACTTTGAGAGTTCGCCCCTGCACAGGTTAAACTTGGCCAATAAAGTAACATCTTTGATACCCTGAAAGTCTCCGATATTTGTTCTCACGTTTGCTGGCTGCTACACATGTAGATGATGGCTGCTATACTAGACAGTGCAGATACTGAACACCGTTACTATAAAAAAAAGTTCTACTGGGTACTGTTCATCTACAGTATCTTGCAAAATGAGAATGTTAGAATACAGAAAAAGGCATACCATACTGAAAACACAATGACCTTTGCCAGATGTGGCTATAATAGTTAAGAAAGACCTTAACCAGGAGTTGACAAACTATGGTATGCTGTCTGTTTTTGTAAATAAAGTTTCTTTGGAACACAGCCATGCTCATTTGTTTACATATTGTCCTTGGCTAATTCCATGCTACAAGTTGAGTAGTTGTGGCAGAGACCATATGGCTCTCAAACCCTCAAACACTTCCTATCTGGCCCTTTACAAGAAAGGTTTGCTGATCCCTTACCTAACTGAGTATAGACTAAAATGTATGCCCATAAGTCCTAGTTCTGTGGCATACTGAAAGGACCAGTATACTAAAAAACTCAGTTTAGAAAATTTTTCCTTGGCAAGCCAGGAACATTTTTTTCCCCCCAATTCCCCACCTCCTTTCTTTTCCCTCTCTCTTTCTTCTCTTTCTTTTTACTTTCCTCCCCACCTTTCTTTCAATTTCCATTTTTTTCCTTCTTGCTTCCTTCCTTTCCTGAGTGGTAAGAACAAATTTATGCTACTCTTTGCTGTGTGGATGGGTCCAAACCCATAGGGAATTACCCCTCTCCTGCCCTGACTAAACTATTAGAACTGCTGAGTGCTTATGGACATTAAAATGTGGATTAAAAAAAAGTACCATTTTCCCAGATATGTGAAAAGCTGAATAAATGGCATATACTATGTGAATGTTGTACTACCTTTAGTCATTTTGGAAGGTAAACATATGGTATGCATACATCTGGGGCCAAATATTTTAGAGAGCAGACATGACTGAGCTAGCAACATTACACTTTAAAACTGAGCTAGTTAACTGGCCATTTAACAACATGAAAGTTCAATTGTTACATGATTGAGAAAAAACTAAATGTTGGCTAAGCTTGCTATATTCATGATCTAGACATAAAGAGAAGTAAAAGAATATTTGAAAGTGTTTTATTAGAAAACCCCAGTGGTCCCAGTTGAAAAAATATTTGATGAATTTCTTTTGTGTGTAAATTAGACAGTGTTCCGGGATGAAGGTGGTCTAATGAAGCCTCATGGCTCTCTGGGGTGCAGAGAAAACAGTAAGTAGTGTTGCCATGGCTTCAGGAAGGCATGAAAGCCCTACAGGATAGAGCCAGTCTTCGCATTTTTCTCTTGCTGCTTTTAAAACACATTCTCCTTTAGTTCTTGCCATGAACAAAGCTGTAACTGCTAGAAAGCTTTTGGGATTCAAATTTTAAACTTTGGAATAGTAATAATAATAAAATTATAGTGTTAAGATGGCTACTATTTATCTAGTATCTGCTAAGTGCTTCACATGATCTCAAATGCTCTTCATATCTCTAGAATTACTTCACTTTATAATTGAGGAAACAAAGCAGGGGTGTCCAACCTGCAGCCTGTCAGCTGCATACAGCCCAGGAAGGCTGTGAATGTGGCCCAATACAAAATCGTAAATTTACTCAAAACATTATGAGATTTTTTTTGTGATTACATGTTGCAATGTATTTAATGTGTGGCCCAAGACAACTCTTCTTCTTCCAGTGTGGCACAGAGATGCCAAAAGGTTGGACACTCCTGAAAGAGGGCAAGAGGTTAAGGGTAAGACAAAGAAAATTAGGAGAATTAAAATATTACAGATTTAAAGTTCTTTATAATAAACAACTGGTAACATGTTGACTGGGTTTTGAAAGTGATTAAGACTCAACAATTTAGTTACTAAGAAAAATATTGCATCAAAGAAAACTATACTATCATTAAAACATATTTTTCTGAAGAATAATTCATCTGAGTCATCAACAACAAATAAATACACACACTACAAATATTTGCACTAAGAGAAGTCTGGAAGGGTATAAAACAAAATATCTATAGCACTATTATTAGGGGAGTGGGGCTGGGGTTATTAACTCCTTTTCTCTTTGTTCTTTTTTGGATCTTCCAAATTTTTTATAGTAAACAGTTAGTACTAATGTAATCAGAAAAATATACAAATTACAATAGTAAACAAGTACTAGAAAAAATATACTTAAAAGAGAGACATTGCTTACGTGGAATAGGGTATGCAAACCGATCTGGGTGCTTTGTGATGAGGGTGTTTTTTATGTGTCTTCTCCCAACACCATGCGCACCTATACCATTTTTTAAAAAGAAAGTTAAAATCGACAGTTGTTAATAATATTCACAAAATGTTTTGAAGATGACAATAAGATAGCCATGTGTTTATACAATCAGACTTACCTAATAAGACTAGTGTTTTCCTTTTAAATGCTGGCAGTTTTACTACTTCTTCATATGTAACAAGATCTAATTGATCAAACACTAAAATGCAAAGATTTAGAACAAAGGTAAATTTGCAGAAAGAACAGTTCATGTATGTAAATTATAATTTTACTGGCAAAACTAAAGTAATAGTAAAACCATGTCTTACAAAATATGAATCCAACTTATAGTAGATTTAAGTCACAATCTTTTGGTAGAAGATTTCATTTTTAAGCCCATGAAAATGCACTTTAGAAGCAGGGGCATCCAGAGCTATGTTGAGCACATGCATGAGAGTCGAATTCTAAAAAATACTGCATATCTTTTCATGCAGTATCTGACAAATCATATGGATTCATTCAAAACCACATGCTGTTCATATTTTTGCAATTCCAAGAAATCAGCAATACTAAAAATGAAAAAGTCAGCAGACAGTGACTGACATGAATATAGCATGAATGCAATTAAAGTTAACCAAGAAAGAGGTCAGCTAGATTATTTCTAGAAATGGCTGCGGGATGCATGGACAGATGGTCTTTAACTTCATGGTTCTTTCTTTTAACAGAGTTACTGAAAGTAGCATGCTAGATTCTTTCAAAGTCAAGTTCTGTAACTATGATTTCACAAGCTTTTGAAATGAGCATCTCACAAGTTTTATTGTAACCCAGCTATCCATTCAATGGAAAGTCTTGGGAATATAAGTAGAATGACATGCGTCTCTGGGCCCCAAACTCTGTTGGCCTGTGCGTAGTAAATCAGGATGAACAGAATGGAAAGAAGCATGGAGCAGAATGTGAGCTTGAAACCCTTTGCAGAAGGGAGTTCTCTAATAATTATAGACTGAGAAGAAATACTGTAAAAATATTTTTGGAAACCTACCTCTTAACAAAACTATTACAAAAACTTTCCCAAGAGGATAACCATTCCTGCTGAAGTTTAAGGCAGTCCAATTCTCAAACACATTTGAGCTCACAAGAAGGCTAAAATCATGCATCTATGTTTCTTGTAATATTTTTTATTTTTGCGTGGTCATACCCAGATGTTTTCAGGCACACTGAAATTTCTTTTTTAAAGGATATGGAATATGCTACAGATTTCAGAGGGTTTGAAAGAAATTCAATAAAATTGATTCCCTGGTGTAATAAAGGAATCTGGGGTGTTTCAGCCAATCATTAAGAGAAGCTTCTACTCCCCGAAACAATATGGCCAAATACTTTTGACTATCTGCTCAGTCCTTAACATTTGTGATCTTCCCAGTAGCAAAGAACCTTGCAATGCAAAATAGGATACTCTGGAATGTAACAGATCAGAAACAAACAAACAAACAAACAAACAAACAAACAAAGTATCATTCCCAAAATAATAAAAAAAATACAGTATGTTAAAACAAGGGTTAGTGCATGTTAATGGGTATTTATGCATTTGTTTTCTCTTGATAACTTGATTCCATAAAGGTTGACTAAAAACTCTTTAAAGCATATTCTCTAGCAACAGCTAAAAACCAAGAAATGCTTTCTGTGTTTAGAATGGCACACTTACAAAATCAAAATGAACGTGAGGTTCTCTGTATAGCAGAGCTAGCTAGTCATGCTATGGTGGTAATGGAGTGACGAAGGTTCACAAAAATAAAATCAAGAATGCTTATGACATTGCTTTTTCTACTTAATGCTGAGTGATATTTCTATCAAGAAAACATATGCTTATGAAAGCGGTGCATCAACAAGCTGATAGATTTTAATATGTAAAAATAATCAAACATCTCACAAAAGAGCAATATGATATTGATACAAGATTTCTGAATGGTATACACACCCATTTCCCTCTACAGAGCCCTAACTCCAATTCTACTGAGATAAGACTTTTGTCATTAAAAAAACCACACACACATAAGAATGAGTTAGATATTAACCATCAACACCACAAACAAATGAACAGATATGTTACACATCAATATCTTAAACATAAACAAATAGCATGAAGAGGTTACTCTGGTCTAAATAAAATCAACACATGGTCATAGGATTGAGAAACAATAAAAAAGAATATTGAAAAATAAGACATACAAGGAATATAAGGAGAACACTTAAAGACTGGACTTTCAAAGGTTTTAAGATGTTCACTGATTTAAAAAAAGGACTTAATGAATGAAAGGAAACCATCAAAAACAAAGAGGCATAGTCACTCAACAGGTTACTTACATGCACAGAGGCCATTGGGAGTAAGACAGCATGAAAAATGTACAGGGGTCATTGAAATATGGCTTTTAATATATTAGTAAAATAAAAGTATAATATGTACAAAAGAAAGTTTACCATGCAGTATTCTAAACATGAGGCAAATAAGTCACATTAAGAAACAAACCCATTTAATAAAAATTCAACAACACCCTTACATAAAAGCCAGTAGGTTTTATAAACTAGCATATGCATAGAAATTTTATCTGGGAATAGTTACAAGAAAAGTTCTCCAGGGACTGTAGATGTGGAAGCCTTTTGGTTTTCATTTTGTACCTTCCTGTACTGTTTGCAATTTCTAATCACATGTGCCTATTACTTTTATTGTTTAAAAAGAGAAATGTCCACAGGGCAGTGAGATTATGGGTCACTTTTTGTTGTTTTTAGAGTAGTCTGTATTAAAGAAAAAAGAGTTATAGCTTTTTAAAGTCAACAGTACTAATTTGTGGCATTAAGCATAATTTAAACACACCTATAAAATCCCTCTATGTTCATATGGATGTATGTAAATAGGGTATCATGGAATATTTAAATACCTCTGCTCAGGGCTCTAACATTGAAAAAATGAATTAATGAATATTTTTTCAAAGTTTACATTAGTAACTTGATCTTAAACTGATTTTGGAAGTCCCAGGGCTGAGGAATCTCAATGCCTCAAGAGTATAGTTCTTCTAGGAGCATGACAATACTTTCCCATCAAATTAATGTGGCTAAATCATTTATGCACTGCAGAATATGTATTTGCTGTAAATACAATACACACCATAATCAAATCTATTCCCAAGGCTTCAGAAATACTGTCTGGCATAGTTGGCTCATATTATCTTGATTTCCTGGTAAGCTACTCAATATTAATGACACTTTCAAGTATTTAGGTAACCACTTTCCAGTTGAATCTTTTCATAAGTAAGCCTTTAACATTGATTCCTTGTCTCAGTTTTGCAAAGCCAGAAGTATCTTTAAATACACTACGAACTTTTAATTAGAAAAGACATTGCACACTGGTAACACTGGGCTGAGTGCACACTCAAATGCCTGCAGTGATCAGGCAGCTAATGTGTTGAAATGAGTGGGCCTGCTGCAGGAATGGAGTAGTGGGGACAGTGAATCCTAGAGAGAGTGTCTAGAGAATGAGCGTCCGATTGAAAAGGGGTATCAACAACCTGGAGTCATTCAAAAAGAAAGTGGGCCTTGTGTTACCATATTCTCTGTTCTTTCAGTGGTAGGCAGACAGCCACCATTTTATGTTAAATATCTGATTTTCAAATGTGATTAACTATTATTTTAAACACCGTGTGTATATGGGGAAAACGAAACTTATTTATGGGTCACATTCAGCTCATAGACTGCCACTTTATCATGTGAGATGTAGGCCACACAGTTTGAAGAAAAGTTTGCTTTAACTAGACATGTGCAATTTCCTGGGGAAATGGAAATAATTAATTCTAGTATTATGATTCTCATCAGTTCTAGATATTGACAAAGTTCCCATCCTTCATTTTTACTACAACATAAACAACTTCAGAATGATGGTAAGGTTTGGATCTTGCCATCAATATATGCTGAATTCTCAAATATTTGAAGCAGGAAACATAAGCATATGGGTCTTATTTTAATTTACTGAGAACTATGAGAAGTTCTCCCACTGTATTTTACAATCAACTTCTGAAAAAGCAAAAAAAAAATCCTTCTGAAATATAATTTGATTTGTGACCCATGAGCCCATTTGGCTAGTTTTTGGTATGAAAGAACATAATATTTCGAAGTTCTCAAAGTATCCACCAGGTGGAGGTCACCAGTGTTTGTCTCCTTCCTTTGGAGAATTCTTTATATAGGTAGTGCCACATATTAGGAAGCACTTTTATCATAGCTAAAAGCAGAACAGCTGATAAAATAGTTGACTTTCCTTTATGACTTTATCTCTTGTTGAGATAATCACTAAGCAACTGGATCTTCTGGACTTAATGAACAAAATGGAAGAGTTGGTTGGTGAAGGGGAAGAAACCGGAAGAGATGGTGACAGAAAGGCCTTGCCAGGCAGCATACTTCAGAAAGTTCAGGAAAGTAGACATCTTCTCCCGACCAGAAAAACTAATAGGAGACCTCATGACGGATGGTTTTGCGGGGAAGGGAACCCTAACAATGACATTCTGATTAGACAAGTACAAATATGCCTAAACACAAGTTCTACAAAGAAATTTGAGTGGCTTTGCAAGGACCCTATAAGAAGTTCAGACTGTCTATCAAAGGGCATGAAAGGAGAATCTCATTCACAGTGACAAAACCGACATATAAGAGGAAACTGCAAGCATGATAAGGAAGGCTCTGAGGTCCAGAAGACCATTACTTAGAAATGCTGAAGATAACAAAAAAGTGGTAGTGGTGGATCTCTCCCAATTTCTTAGTTCTAAGTTTACAAGAGCTTGGACAGGTCCATAGTTTTGGATAGGACATATAATGTCCAAAGAGAAAAGGCAATTTTATTCTATCCTTAGGAGACTCTTGCCTTCTTTATCAAGGGTAATACCCTTCAAACTTGATGGGCAATGTTTACCAGAGCTAAAGCCTGAGATAAGGGACAGCAAATAAGTACCTGGCTTCATTAAATGATATCCATTTGTCAGGCCCATGGATGAAAGAATGTGAGATCCACTGAATTTTAGAATTAGAAAAGATATCCTTGACTGATTAATGCTATTCGAGATTCCCCTGTTTTGAGGCCCATGGGAGCCTAGGGATTTTTGAAAGTAGTAGTTAGTCAGGTGTGCTAATTCCTGGTCTTATCTCAGGTTGCCTATTAAGATTGCAGGTGTGTTTGCAGGACCACTGATGAATCAGGAGAACAGATGGAAGATCAGTGATGTCCCAGGGTGTCAAAGCATGGAAAAAGGGAAAAAGGCAAAATTTTTTTAAAAAGATTTTATTTATTTATTTTTAGAGAGGGAAGGGAGGGAGATAGAGAGAGAAACATCAATGTGCGGTTGCTGGGGTTATGGCCTGCAACCCAGGCATGTACCCTGGCTGGGAATTGAACCTGCGACACTTTGGTTCACAGCCCACGCTCAATCCACTGAGCTATGCCAGCCAGGGCTAGAAAAAGGCAAAATTTTTAAGTGAACAATTCAATGGATTCTTTGTCAGAATTCAGAGGTTCTAGTTTTTCAACCAACTGGCTTTGTATTTTTCCTCAGAGCTTAATTAAAGAATACTGGCAAACTGAATACTCATGTCCACGTGCTCTCTATTAGTATAATATAAAGCTAATGAAGAATTGACAGACTTCACCAGCAATTTCTTTGCTTTTTTAGGTTTAAATTAATTTTAATGCCATTTATCTGTCCATGTCATTTAAATTTATATCTATCTATCTATCGATCCATCTATCTATCTATATAAATAAAATGGTGACACATCATGTCAGACTGTTAGAAGTTGATGAAAATAAAGGTGACTATGGACCCTTGGCAAAAACCACTGCCATTTTGTGTTAAATAACATTCTGCTAATACTACAGTGAATGTCTTCAAATAGCACTACTTGAGCATTTACAATTAATAGTTGCTAAATTATGTCTAACTAATCTGCTTTAAATATTTCTCCTTTTTATAAAACAAAAAAAAGCTATTATCACACTAGTGCTCTACAGTGGTACATAATCAGAAATGATATAACTTATTGGAAATAAAATGTGTCCACTTACATTTATTCCACATTACATAGTACCTCAAAATGTTTACTTTTATTCTCTTAATAAGGAATAAACCATTCAGAGTTTCTAAATATTTTTTCCTAATGAATTCTAATAGCATACATTATAACATTCTACAGAGATAGATGCATTTTTTATTTGTCAGAAACATTATACTGTCAAATTGGGTATGCATAATTGCATTCACTTGATTTTTTGCCACATGTTTGATTTACGGAGTTGTTTCTGAAACCTTGGGAACTAATCCAACACCACTGTTGGGACTTGTAATTCCTCAGAAAAAGTAGTCCTTAAAAAGCAGTCATATTAAGAAGTTATAGAAAACACATAAATCCCACTCTACATATCACCATGCATTTTCTTTAACTTAAATTACATCCTGTAAGTCTTCTGGGAATTCTGCAGTGACAGATCATGCTTTTTCTGGTGTTCATTTCAGTTTTTGGCAAACAAGTGAGTATTTTGTGTTATGTACATACAAGCTTCCATATAGATGAACATACCACAAAGAGAAGGTCAAGATAATGCTTTGGTCTTTTAGGAGCCAAGGAAATATCATGAGAGAAGACTAGTCACAGAAACTGACTAAACCAAATTAATTTCCAATGTCGTTTGTGCTCTTTCAGACCAATCACTGAACCATGTGCAGCACAGCTGTCTGTTAAGAGTGCACCTCTGCCCTTTGAAATGTGTCCTAGGGCCAAGCCTAAGGGCCAGAGAGGAGCCAAGAGCAACGGTGTTTGCTCAAGACAAATCTCAGCAAGGAGGCAAGAATCCTGGTGACTCAGCAAACTCTCAAGCTCTCATTTCTCAGGGGACAACTTAATGTACTGGGTTCTTTTTGTCCCAGAGAATACTATTTCCAAATAACATTTTCTTTCTATAAAGTACAGCTCTGTAAAGTATCCGGCAAACAACCAACATAATAATTGATGGTAGGGGTTTCGTAATGTTTTTGCAAATTGATGAAGATCTCATATGTTTGAATTTTTGGATAGAGAACTCTGAAGACTGAATTGAGGTATGACATCTGTTTCAGTCTTTGAGATGTGCCACTGGCCTCAATAACAGTCATACTTTCCCCTACCTGCATTGTGCTTTGCCAAATATTTGTCTTTGTACTGCTTCTTTTTCTTGCCAAACCAAGTACAGCTGGCTTGCTGCTCCTGTTTGGTCTTCTCCATGGCGATGCAAGCTACTCGCCTAGCATACAAAGAAAGAAAGAAAGAAAGAAAAAGAAACTGATGTATAGTTTTATATTGATAAAAGGGGAAAATAACCATTTTGAAGAGTTTACATCAACCTGCATGAACATACCCCTCACAAGTTTTTCAAGTCATCCAGATAAAGGTTGTTCTTTGGCTTTCACAACAATTTCCTAGAAATGGTTTAAAAACACAGGCTTATAATAAAATGACATTGTGTTCCTTGGGCATATACTAAATGATAACACAGATGAGGAGCCTAAACATATGACCATGACATATAGTGGAAAGGTCTGGGTTGACTATCACTTAATTAGCTTTTATTGATTTAGTGTTAGGTGCTTTTCTGGGAAGTTTACTTGTATTAACTCATTTAGTCTTTTCAAACACATAAAATTGCATCACCATTTTACAGGTGAGGGGATCAAAGGACTGAGAAGTTAAATAATTTGCCCCAATTCACACAGCTAATAAGTGGGAGAAGGAGAAGAGTCTGGCACCAGAGCCTATGCTCTTAGCCAGTACATTACTGGCAAGTTCCTTAACCTCTTAGAGCCTTTTGGATGGATTAGAACAAAAAGTGCTAAATGTCCCTAGCACAGTGGCAGGCATAGTAGATTCTTAATAAATGACACTATTATTACACGGAGATTCCAATCTAAGATAGAAAATAATGCTATGTTTAAATCCACAGTTAGAATTACAATCAGGAAATTATAATTTTGTTCTACATCATAATATTCACCACCTGTAACATATACACAAATGTGTTTATAAGTTGCGCTCTAAGCAAATAATTGTGTGATATTTCCGTAGAAGGTTTTGCTTATTTAATTATTTTGCTTGTGGACCAACTGACTAGGGGTCCCTGAGTGAGCCATATATAAGGAGAATCCAAAATCACTATCAGAATGCCATAAAATGCTATTGAAAACAAGTTATTTTCCAACGGGGTACTGATGTACACTCCATAGGGTATATGAGAGTTCCTATGTTCCACTATCTTGACAACACTTGGTATTATTAGTCTTTAAGGTTAGTCATCATGGTGGGCAAGTAACAGTGTATTTTGAGTATGTGTTTCACTGATTATTAATGAGATTGAACACCTTCTCATGTTTATTGGCACTCCTCTTTCGTAAAGTGTCTGTTCAAGTCTTTTAACCATTCTCCTATCCAGTTGTCTCTTTTTGATTTGTAACAATTCTTTATATGGTCTGGATATTACACCTTTGTTAGTTATACATATTGCAGATGTCTTCTACTTTGTGGCTTACCTGCTTTATCCTTTTTATGGTATCTTTTGATAAATATAACTTATTAGTTTTGATCTAGTCACTTTGGCAATCTTTTATGGGAAGTATTTTTCATATCTTCTGTAAGAAATCTTTATCTCTGAAGATATACTCCAACATTACCTTCTCAAGAGTTTATAGTTTTGTCTCTCATATTTTGGTTTCTAATACACTAGAACTTACTGATTTTTACACTGATTTTTGTGTATGGTGTGAAGTTAGGGATTGTCTGTCTTGTGCATATCCCCCCACCAGGGATACCCAATTGTCCCACCATGAATTATGGAAAAGTCTACCCATTCCTCACTAGTGACTATTTTAATGTGTGGGAGTGTTTTAGGGTTTTCTTCAATTGATCTTTTGAGCATCTCTATATCCATACCTTATTAACTTAATTACTATGCCCCCCATTTCCCCTCCTTGCCCCCTTCCAGCTTTATAAGTTTTGACATCAGGTGGAGTATTATCTCCCTCCTTAGTCTTCTAAAAGAGCATCTTGGCTATTCCTGATCTTGGGAATTTCCATGAAAACTTTAAAATTAGCCCATCTATTTAAAAAATGGTTGGGACTGCACTGAATCATTCTGGGAGGAATAGACATCTTTATAATATTGAGTCTTGCAGTACATGAATACAATATGTCTCTCTACTTATTTAGGTCTTCTTTAATGTCTCAATAAATTTTAAAATTTATCCTGTAAATGTTTTGAACATCTGTATTAGATTTATTCCTAGGTTGTTCATTTAAAAGAAGAGTTTTATAAATGTATTTTAAAAATTTTGTAGTATCAAAAATTTCAAACATACATTAAAAGTAGAGAATACTGTAATAAACCTCAAGTACCTAAAATCCAACTTCAACACTTACTGACTCATGGATTATTTTGTTTAATTTACAACTTACTCACCCCAGATTGTTTAGAAACAAATCTGTTTGTATTATTTCCTCCTTAACTATTTTAAATTCCCTTTAAATCTATAGGGTCCCTCTCTTCTTTTTTTCTTCTTGCAATTTATTTGTTGCAGAAACTGGTTGTTTGCCCTATAGTTTCCAGTTCTAGATTTTTCTGATTTCATCTCTGTGGTGTCTTCAGTAAGTCCCTCTGTGTTTCCCTTTCCTGCAAATAGGTAATTAGATCAAGAGGCCTGATCAAATTTAAGTTCCATATTTTTCACAAGAATACTTTATAGTATTATGGGCTTATAGGTGGTGTTATATATGGTATATTAAAAATTTTCATTTTCTGTTTGTTGTTGGTAAATAGGAATATAATTGATTTTTGTATATTGATTTTCTATCAGCCATCTTGTTAAACTCTCGTATTGTCTGTTTATCTATAGATTCCTTGGACTTTCTACACAAAGAATCATATCACCTGCAATATTTTTTCCTTTCCAATAATGTTTGTTGTAGGTTTACTATGATACTCTCAATCAGGTTAAGGAAGTTCCCTTTAATTCAGTTTGTGAGAGCTTTGATCATGAGTGGGTGTTGAATCTCATCAAATGCTTTCCCTGAATCTATTGATAAAATCAGGTGGATTTTCTTTTTAGTCCATTAATATGGAGGATTGGGTCATTAATATGACTGGTTTTCAAATGTTGAACCAGCCATGCATTTCCAGTTCAAACTCCATTGGGTCAAAATGTATTATCCTTTTTATATATTTCTGGATTCAATTTGCTAATATTTTGCTGAGGACTTTTATATCTATGTTCATGAGGGACACTGTAGTTTCCTTGAATTTCCTTTATTGAATTTTGGTATTAGGAACTGCTGGCATCATGAGATGAGTTGGGAAATGTTCTCTTGTGTTTTCTTTTTTTTAAAAAGATTTTATTTATTTATTTTTAGAGAGGAAAGGGAGGGAGAAAGTGAGAGAGAGCAAAACATCAATGTGTGGTTGCTGGGGGCCGTGGCCTGCAACCCAGGCATGTGCCCTGACTGGGAATCGAACCTGCGACACTTTGGTTCGCAGCCCGTAATCAATCCACTGAGCTATGCCAGCCAGGGCTCTTTTGTTTTCTTGAGGAGAATGTCCTTCATGTCTCTTACTCTCTCTCCTTCATTGATGCTTTTTTTTTTCAAGTTTATTTCTTTATTTTAGGTTAGGAGAACAACATTTATTGGGAAATATTGTGAACTCTTAGCAATGCATTGAAGTCAATCCCCATATATTGCCTAAGTGGAATACAGAGGAGGCTGATGAAGACTTTGCTTTGAGGATTCCTCCAGTGCAAGCCAAATGTGTGCTGTTAGTCATAACTACAGCTTCTGTGAGTCATAGAATCTCTGGAAACATAAACAGAACTGAGGAATTTTTGACTGGTTAAAACAAAATCCTGACTTCCAGCCAAGATGGAGGCATAGGTGGACTCACTGTACCTCCACGCACAACCAAGATTGGAACAACAACAATTTGGAGGCAGAATAACACCCAGAAATGACAGAGAATTTATCTGAATAGAAGTCGGACAGGCAAGAAGTTGAAGTAGACCCATTCATCCAGACCGGTAGGAGGGGTGGAGATGAGCAGCCAGGCACGGGTGACGGTGCAGAGAGCAGAGAGAGTTGGGTGCATAAGGCAAGTAGGAGCGCTTAAGGCATCTGGGGCGTGAAAGATTGCAGTGGGTGGACCCTGAGTATGCAAGCGGCAGCTGGCAGACCCAGTGAGGCAGCTATTGTGGAGCAGGGCAGAGCACGCAACCCAGGATCCCAGAGAAGGGACCGAGATCCCATGGGGAACAGAGCTACCACCATTGTTCCCTCCCGCCCCCGCTCCCACATACAACATCACAATCTAGTGACTGGGGTGCCCACCCTGGGTGAACACCTAAGACTCTGCCCCTCACTACATAACAGGCGCAACCAGACCAAAAAAAAAAAAAAAGAGAGAGAGAGAGAGATGGCTTAAACAGAAGAACAAATCAATGCCCTAGGACTCATCCTTTTAATTGACTGAGAGATAGCCAATCTATCAGATGCACAGTTCAAAACACTGGTGATCAGGAAGCTCACAGAATTGGTTGATTTTGGTCACAAATTGGATGAACAAATGCAGGTTACCATAAAAGAAATGAAGGAAAATGCACAGGAAACCAATAGTGATGGGAAGGAAACTAGGACTCAAAACAATAGAGTGGACCAGAAGGAAGAAAGAAACAACCAAACAGGAAAGAATGGAGAAATAAGAATTCAAAAAAAATGAGGAGAAGCTTAGGAACCTCCAGGACATCTTTAAATGTTCCAACATCTGAATTATAGGGGTACCAGAAGGGGAAGAGGAAGAGCAACAGATTGAAAACGTATTTGAACAAATAATAAAGGAGAACTTCCCCATTCTGGCAAAGGAAATAGACTTCCAGGAAGTCCAGGAAGCTCAGAGAGTCCCAAAGAAGTTGGACCCAAGAAGAAACACACCAAGGCACATCATAATTACATTAGCCAAGGTAAAAATGAAGGAGAGAATCCTAGAAGCAGCAAGAGATAAGGGGACAGCACCCTACAAAGGAGTTCCCATCAGACTGTCAGCTGATTTCTCAAAAGAGACCTTACAGGCAAGAAGGGGCTGGAAAGAAGTATTCCAAGTCATGAAAGACAAGGACCTATATCCCAGATTACTCTATCCAGCAAAGCTTTCATTTAGAATGGAAGGGCAGATAAAGTGCTTTTCAGATAAGGTCAAGTTAAAGGAGTTCATCATCATCAAGCCCTTATTTTATGAAATGTTAAAGGGACTTATCTAAGAAAAGAAGGTAAAGAAAAAACATGTATAGTAAAAGGACAGCAAACTCACAATTATGAACAACCACACCTAAAGCAAAACTAAAAGAAACTAAGCAAACAACTGGAATAGGAACAGAACCACAGAAATGGAGATCACATGGAGGGTTAGCAACAGGGAAGTGGGAGGAGGAGAGAGGGGGAAAAGGTACAGAGAATAAGTAGCATAGATTGTAGGTTGAAAATAGACAGGGGGCGGGCAAGAATACTATGGGAAATGTAGAAGCTAAAGAACTTACGACACATGGACATGAACTAAAGGGGGGATGTGGGTGGGAGAGGGTGTACAGGGTGGAGGGGAGTGAAGGGGGGAAATGGGACAACTGTAATAGCATAATCAATAAAATATATTTAAAAACCCCCAAAATCCTGACCTTGTGAAGTTTATGTTATAGTATACAGAGCATCTTATAATACATACTTTTAAGCTTAAAAATAAAAACAAAAAGTTCCCAGTAATATTTTGTGGTGTGGCCATATATGGTGTAGTGATAGAAGAATGAAATGGGTTTTTACCAGCCACTCGGGATCTGAATGTTACTTCTTTTAGCTCAGTAAGAGCAGAGAAACTGTGTTAGGATTTAGGTCAACTGGGAGGGAAATTTGAAACAAGTTTAACATGTTATTGCTGAGGCAAGGGAAGAGATGACAGATTCAGGGACTCAAACCATATCAAAGGCATAGAATGATAAGCCTTGTCAAGCAAGATGAAATTTAACAAGGGTTAATAAGGTAAGCATTTGTGTCCAAAAACTGATTTCTCATCTATAAGGTATGAAAAATGTTAAGTTGGTAGCAACGTATTTGAACAAAGCTTTTGGGTTTGGTTGATAGCATTGTTTCAAATCTTTCTTGTTAGTATTGCATGTCCACTGACATCGTAGAGACCAGTTCAATTTGCCAGCAAGACTTTACTGTTTCCCCTCAGCTGGGAATGCCTCCTTGTACCACCAAAGTCCTACGTAGGTCTCAAGGCACATACTGCCCAGTGGGTCTCTTCCTCATCATCACAATTAGAATCCCTTTCTTCCTCTGCAGGTTTTGCAGCTTATTGAGTTCAGTTTTTTGCAATGAACTGAATATCTTTAAAGGGCATAATTTCATCAGTTGGGACCATATCCTATGAAACCATCATTACAATCAAAACAACGAGCACATTTTCATCACTCCAGGAATTTCCTTATGGCCCTCTGTAATCTCTCCCACCCTCCCACAGAACCCCAGGCAATCTCTCAGTATAGATTAGTTTTGCATTTTATGCAATTTTATGTAAATGGAATCATATAGTTTGTTCTCCTTTTTGCCTGGAAATTCAGCATAGTGGTTTTGAATTTCATCCATATTGTTTTATGTATCAAGAGTTTATTCTTTTTAATAGCTGAACAGCATCCCATTGTATGAATATGTCATCATTTGTTTATCTATTTATCTGTTGATGAAAACTTAAAAAAGCCATTCTAACAGGTATGTGGCCACTGAGTTTTGCTGCTGCATTTTTTTCTTGGAAGTTCCTTTAAGTTCTTTTTAAAATCTGCTATGCCATTAAAATTTTTCCTGTTCTCTGAAGATAGTTTTCAAACTTATTACTGATTGTAAAAAACCTCCTAAAAACCATAGTTGTTTAAAAACTTTTGTCTCCTAATTCCAATATATGAAGTGAGTTTGGGTTTGCTTCTACTGTCATTTCAGTTGGGTCTCTGTCAGGTTTCACTTGTTTCCTTGTGTGCCTGGTTATTTTGATTTGCTGGTCACTGCCCTTGAAAAAGTTTATGTGGGGGATTAGGAGGAGCTCTAAGATGAGGGCTAAGATAAAAGTGTTCTTGTGAGACTATCTTTTTGTTTCTAACAGACAGTTGAAACTATTAGGGGAAATCTCAAATCAAGTGCATGGCTACAGTTTCCCTGGCTGTCCCAAGCTACGTGTCCCTGGGTGGACCAGTGGCCACAATTTTTGCTCTTCCTTTGCTCTTGTCTTTTGCTTTGCTCACTGAAAAAGCAGGCTTCTCTACAGTCACCTGGTGCTGAAAGGCAAGTAGAGGCATGCTTACCTGCTTGCTCTTAACCTGGGGCATTCCCTTTTGCAGTCCGAACAATGTGGAAAGGGTCTCTCCTAACAGATTCTCTTACTTGTACAGGCTTTGGGTCTTAACCTTGGTCCTCTGGTAGAGAAGTTTTACAGTAATTGAAATGCTCTCCTGGCTGAATGGACCAATTTGGTACTTGAATTTTTATTGCTCTGATTAATGGCTTTCATAGAAAAATTGGTCATTGAGTTCCCCAATACCTTTTCAGTTACTCAATGCTTTTAAGTTAATTTTCAAAAGCATATCTTCTGCAGCACTTTTCATTTTATTCAGCAGGAGAATTGATTCACATAACCTAGTTCTCCATTACAGGAAAGAGGAAACAAACTTGCTTTTTCTGCTGCCATTTCTCAGGATTGCTCCAGAGGATTCAGAGTTCCGTAGCAGTGAAACATGATTTATACAAATGATCTGACTAGGCAGAAGAGGTGTGGAATCTACATAATTATTTTCAGTAAATGCTCATAATATACAGGACCATTCAAGTATACATTTTCTAAAATATAAATATCAGTAATACTATAACAACATCATCAGCACCATCAAAATGACTCTTCCTGCAAATGCTTAGACTGTTTCTTGAAGATCAGACTGAAAGACAATCGCAAGTGGAAGGCTGCTACATACTCTAGCCAGGCTTACAAATCCTTGTGAAAAATGATGGCAGCTGAAGTTCTTATCAGCTCTAACATTCTAAATTTAAGACTACTTTTGGGAAACAGGATAGCTGAAAGAGGCAATCAAACCAAAGTGATTAACTGAGAAATCCCTTTAATTAGTGAGAAAAAGGTGTCAAAAAGGAGTTATAAATATCTATGAGCTCAGTGCCTCTCATTTCTTTTAGGTAGGTTCAAGTATTTTGGGAGAAACTGGCACAATGCCTAATGGTTATTTTTTGTCACATGAAACAAAACTCAGACATAAAGTTATCTCTTTTGCACTAGATTTATGATAGACTGTCAAAGGACCAACAAAGGTAAAACTATCAACACTGTTCAAAAAATAGTTCAATGAAGCAAACTGTAATAATAGCAAAAACAGAGTTACCAAAATACATAGTAATCTGTGACTCCTTCTCTCAGTTAAAACTAGTGTCTAAAAACTGTCTTTCACTTGCTTTCAAAGGTCAAACTTTCTAACAGACATACATTTAAAAACCTGGTAAGGTAAAGAACAAAGCATCTGACTACCTTTTTCTCCCATCAGTGAAACACATTTTATCTTAAAATACCCTGAGTGTTGCTGAATCAGGGAATTTGAATTTTTTGCTGGTGGTGGGGTAGAATAGGGTGGTAAGAGCATGCAGAGGGGCAAGGAGAGGAACATTTAAAAAATGCAGTTCTAGCCTTGCCCAGCATGGCTTAGGTGGTTGGGTGTCGTCCCACAAACCAAAAGGTTGCAGGTTTGATTCCCAGTCAGGGCACGTGTGTAGGTTGTGGGCTTGGTCCCCCGCTGGGGCACGCATGAGAGGAAATCTATTAATGTTTCTTTCTCACATTGATGTTTCTCTCCTATCTTTCCCCTCTCTTCTCTCTCTCTAAAAAAAATCAGTAAGCATGTCCTTAGGTGAGGATAAAAAAATGCATTTCTAACGGGATTGAAACAGCATATAGTAGTGGTGGGCTCTGCCATGATGTGACAGGGACTTAAGGCGAGTCACTTAAGCTCTCTCTAGACCCTCCTCTGTCCTGCTACATAAAACAAAGATCTCACAGTATAAGTAGGAACTCATTAGATGCTGAGGATTTAGAATTCCTTGATGACTAACTTGAATTTTGTTTAGCTAGTAAAGCAAAGAATAAACAGGTTTTATAACATAAAACAATAATATAAAGTTAAAAAATGGATGGGCAGGGTTTCATTTTTATTAAAAAGCAAAACAACAAAAACATACCATTCCTGAAGTTCAGGAGAAGGAATGAGACCTGCAGTTCCATTTTTGGAGTTTTCCAGTTTACCCTGCCACCAATTGTGATCATCCTTACTAATAATCTGGATAATGTCACCAACTCTGAATCGAATGCCAGCTTCTTTGCAGGGGATGAGGTCATCCTTGGCTGGATCATATTCAAATTGTGCTCTTACATAGATCTATAAAACAGGAGTTTGTAAGAAAGGATGCCATGGTGATATGAAAGAAAACAGCGCTAATGTAATAACTACACATCAACACTTACAGTACAAACAGGACATTGGATGGTAAAAACAAAAATGATGCATGGAAATACAACACACAAAACCACTGGAAACAATGTACTACTTTGGATGTGTACAGGTTTAAATCTGTGTTGTTTGAATTTGGAGGGAACATTTAAGATACTTGTTTTTGGCTTTTACTGTAACAGAATAGGCCTATAATTATAGAGATGTATGCTTACCATTGTAAAATCTGCATATGGTTAGTTGATGTTATGGACAAGTTGTCATGAACAAGTGGCAGCTTTTAAGCCATAAACACAAGCATTCAGGGTAGATTTTAACCCTAAAGCACCAAATGGTTCAAAACTAGTAAGAATGCTGTGTTGGTATCTTGCTGTAACATGCCTACAAGACAACTGGTTGAGTGTCTACACACTGCTGATCAACTTAAATGTAACTCAAAGAATTTTAAAAAACATTTAAAAATAGTTTTATTTTTTTAAAAAAAGAATTAGTCTTTACATTGGTATTTTGCTCTTTGTAGAGAAGAAAAATAAATGTGAATCCCAGCTTTGCCAATGTAATGCTTGAAATCAGCACAAATTCAAGGCTTTAAGTTTTATGATATATAAATGTAGTTAGTAAATATTATCAAATAAAACAGATTAACATATAAGGGGTTATCATATGGTAGCATTTTATGAATTACTGGATTTCTAAACATTTTAAAATAAGGTGGTAGGTACAGAATGCTGTATTACTTATGCAGTCAATACTAAATGGTGGGTAAATCCTATCAGGGCGAACTTACACAAATTTTAACTCTAAGTCAGATTATTTTTAATACCACATTTCATGAAAAAGCCCACAAAAATTCTATCTCTTGAAATTAAATTTGAATATTAATGTTTAAGTCACTGTAAAACCAACCTGAAGGTTTTGTGACTATTGTGTAAATTATTCTATTTAAGTTTGTTTTCAGGAATCCAGCCTATAAAATTAACAAGTCTCTGCATTTGAACCTAAAATCCATACTTTGAAGGAGCCAGCACATTGAAAGTTACTTGCCAGTGTTAGGCAGCACTTAACTTTTCATGTTTGAGTTAACAGAGGCATACAAGGATGTAAAGCCAGTATATCTATGTTCTTATTTTTTGTTGTAAATGCAAATTAAGAAGCCTTCAAATCTCAAAAAATTATTGCTGAAAAACACTCACCAGCATGTACATTTTAGTTATTCTTAGAATTCTAAGAATTTTGTACGCTTTCAAATTTTTTCTACCCCAGAGGCAGGCCCTTAAGACCCACAAAAGGCTGAATTCTTAATCATCAACACAATTATCAGGTTGAAATTACAATAACCATCACAGCTACAAAGATGTAGGGAAAAATCTTTATAGAGAATTAGTCATGTTTAATGTGTTAAAATGAAATGGCACAAGCTTTCAATGCTCAAATGTTATGGTCCAAAATGCAGACATTATGGGATGGAAAGGGTTAATAAAGGATTGGCTATTAGCAGCTCAGTTTAGAGAAGTTTCTATAGAGGATAACTATTCACCTGTCGTCCTTTTGGTTGGGTAGTTGATGGCAAGTCCTGTAGAATAAAGCCAACCCAGGAGAAAAAATTTTCATTTACTTGTCAAGAGTACAAGGTAATTTGTGTGTTCTGTTACAATATGGTTAAAAAATGAGCTAGATTTAAGTTGTAAAGAGATAATATACATCATTCCATTTCTCAGAAATGTTGAGTTATAAAAAAAAAATCAAACCCAGGCCATTTAGCAGCAAGCTGAAGAAAGCAGGTAAGTTTAAGCAGAGAGAAAGTGTGTTCTTGAGAAACAACTCAGCATCTTCAACACAAAAGCCACTGTGAGTGAAACAGCCCTATTTAAAAAAAAAAACAAACCAAAACCAAAACCAAAAAGAGCTGTTGCCCTTTTCAGCTTTGTCACTGCAACCTTTTAGATTTTGAAAAATTTGATGGCTATATGGATTTTCACCATCTTAGAAGTATTAAATGTTAACTGTTATAAATGAACTCCTTTATGGCCTATTTTGAAGTTAAAATAAAAGTCATAGAAAATTTTCTTCCATAATTTCACTTACTGATATCATTCCATTTGAGATGATCACTAAATTATTTAAAATTTTACCTGATAGAAAAAGTTGATATATTTTCAAAGGGCAAATTAACAGAAAAAAGTGATACTGCTGCCATTATTAGAACTCTCAGTAATTTTAACAGCAATACCAGCAACTTAGAGAAGATTGTTACCCCCAAATATTGCATACTTGCACCTGTAAGTGCTTCCATTTGTTTAAATAAACTAAAAACAGTTCTTTTTATATTTCAAAATGGATAGTTCTGAAAAAAAAATACAATTCCAAATTTAAGTAAAAATATAAAGTACTTTGTGTTAAAGATGTGATAATAGCGTGGCTTAAGTGCAATTTGAAGCCAGTTCCTTTTGCTTTTCATATCCAGGCAAGGTTTATAATTCACAAAAATATGTGCACGTACCACAAAAACAGAGGGCACACCAATTCGTAAACTTAGATAGCGGAAACTAAAACATGTTGCTGATATCACTCAGAAAAGACAACTACAAAGCCCAAGACCCAAATGCCTGCTCTGCAAACTCTGTACATTTATTTATCTTTCTCAAAATAAAAAGATATTTAGAGACTTCCAAAATTTCCATTTACATCCTTTGCATAAGTTTGAGCAAAGACATAAATACTTGTGGGGTGACACAGAAATATTTTGAGAATGACCAAAGCAGTCTTGAACTATGTGTCTTTACATGTAACTAATGGAAAGGATTTTATTGAGAAGAAAATGTTGAAAACAGATTTTCTAGAAGTAAACTGCATTGTAGCTGTAGTAGCCTTGTATATTGGCAGAAGACAATATTTCCACTGAACACATGTAACTAGAACACTCATGGCAGGTGGCACCAACAAAATTGTCACACTTTGCCGTGTGAAGCTCGAGTTCTTACCGAAACAGAATTGTTAGTGCTGCTATGACCATTAGCTGGGGACTGTCTGGAAGTGGAGGGGGAATCTCTCTGAAATAAGACACAAGGTTCATTAACACAGAACACCAGCACAGAAACAGAGATATTCACATCAACAGTTACAACCACAATCTGACAACCATTTCCTTTGAGGTTTTAGCTGCACAGATGCCATACTGACTTATTTGCATGTTTTTAGAGAAAGTAAGAAAAAAACTTTGCCATTTAAAGGTTCACATACTGTAAGCGATGACCGTGCCATTCATTAACAATTTCTTTCCTATCTCCGACATCCTCTAATCTTTGCTTTCTTTAAATGAGACCCAGAAGAGGGACTTGATATTAAAATCTGATCTAGTGCTGTAAAATGACAAGTATTACTATAAAATCATTGTGCAGAAGATCTCAATCGCCTAACTTTATAAAACAATAGGTTTAAAAAGTATTTAGTAATTTTTAGGTACCTCAATGTAAAAAATTACTGAATGACTTCATTGGAAGTGAAACTAATCTTAAAAAAAGAAAAGACTTCTCATATTGTAATCACCTTGAGATTGTTCTAAGACAAATATTACAAATAAGGGTAAAAAACAGATATACACTAGAGAAGAAACCTTTATTCTTGAGATAATTTTAGCAGATTGATTAAAACAACAATCTTGAGCCTCTCAAAGCATTACACTTCTGGCAAAGATCCCAGGAGCCAGAGTGCCCTAGTACTTCAACTGCACTCTCCATATTATTTGACATAAACAAAATCCTTTCCAGGCTCCATTCCCTTATTGCCCAAGTCAATTTTAATGATAAGACCAAGGAGAAGAAGAAAGTAGGTGTTTTAAAATTTTTGGTTTAGTAGAGTTCTTTGAAACCTTTGAAATATTCATGCCTGCTTGAAAGACATGTTCCCTGCCCCCACACCTGAAGATTTAAAAAAAACTTCTGGAACTCATTAGCCTTTTAAATAATGGGATCCCTTAGATGAGCCTTCTCAAGTGTTAATGAGCAGACTGATCTCTAGGTACCACTGCAAGAGATTCCAGTGAGCAGGGCCAGGGGGATGCTGATACAGGTAGCCAGAGAGCATTCCTTTGGGAAGTACTGTCCCAGCTGGGAAAAGTCCAACCACAGGCTTAAATTCTGCCAGAGCACAGAAGGTCAAACAGGTTGGGAGTGGGGCTGGGAGGGGAATATCATTTTTCATACTATTCAGAGGTAAAGAAGGCAAGGGGGGAGCTTTTCTTACTCAACAATGTAGAATTTACATGTTTAGTACTGTTTCCACCCCCAAACTAGGTCAACTACTTAAAAACTCAAGAGAAACTTATGTTATATTAATAACTAACAGTACCTTCTGGTTACTTAGTACCCCCACCCTGGGAAAAGACAAAAATCAATCATGTTTACTAAATTTCTTCAATGATGAGAAATGGTATGAGGACCATCTGTGATTTTAGAATATTAAAATGCTTTACATAAAATGTATGTGTGATAGTCTCTCTTTCCCAGCAAGGTTTGTGTCTTAGGCAACAACTTTCAAAACTACAAATCCTGGAGCAGAAACAGTTCTCCATTTCCTTTTACAACATAGTATTATTTGAAGTTCCATAAAAAGCCACCAAGAGGAGCTCAAGACCTGATATAAACAGAAACCCCAATTGTCATGGCTCTAAAAATATACTTAACAAAACCTACAAATTCTTATATGTCTCTTTAATAAGTTGAGAAAAACACAGAAAGCCTGATTTTTCTTGTGAGATTCATAACATTGCTAGAGAATGAAAGAAGCATTACAATTTCTCTCTCAACTTTTAAGTACAAATTCCATTTTCTAGATGAGTTCCAATAAGTTACTTGTCAGTCTTTAAAATTAAATATAGAAAATGTGTATTTCATACTGATGTACACATACTTGGAAGATGTACATGAAATAACAGGCTCCAAAAATAATATTCCAGCTGACTGTGCAATGACTGAAGGATGATACCATTTATGCCAGTTTGTATTTCCAAATATAAAAAGAATATATCCTTGAATCTCATTTAATAACCAACATAAAACTGAATAATATAGATTGAAAGAGTGACAATTTCTATAGGATAAGCCTATATTATAAGGAAGAAATTTTGATGTTGTATTACTCTACAGAACTTATTTATGAATCATGTAACGTTCCAAGATTGAACTTCACAAAATATTGCAAAAGCCTATATTCCTCTCATAATGTCAGCTATCAATTCCTCATAGACTTAACATTCATCTAGAGATGTGTCACAATTATTTAAATGACTTTATCTTGATAGAAACAGATTGCTTCTCAGATTCTTAGAAAGAAGAACTATGTGATTTCTCAATAAGGGAAGTGAATGTACTTCCTGGAAATGTTATTGCAATTATAACCTTAATTTTTTCCCCTCAGAGACTCTACTTGTTCTTTACTAAGGCTTATGTCATTAACTGTAGCTTCTCTATATTTGCTTCAATTCTGGCCTGCAGAAAGTTAAAGTGCTAAGGAGGTCCCCATAGAAGTAGGGCTGAGTAGGTGGATGGGACCTACTCTGTTCCGTTATCTTTGTTGTAAAATTGGTGTGCAGTGATCAACAGCACAGGCAGAAACAATTTCCCAGAAAGCCAAAACATTCAGCCATGAGCAGACAGTTAGTTAAGAACCCAGAGGAGACAGAGTGTTTTGTTAAAGCTATTACCTCACAGGATGATGACTGAGTACGGTAACTTGGCACGATCTTGAAGGTGATGCTCCCCCGCATTTCCCTCTGGAGGAAGAAAAGAAAGCTTACTTAACTAACAAATGTTGCACAAAAACCATGTAAGAAGCCATCGAAAGGTGTGAGGGCAATTAATGTAAACCCAGCTGAGAGCACCTGGGTCTAACAGGAAACTGTTATCACACAGAGACTGCTCACTGTAACAGTTAAATTGTTTCTGGGAGAAGCCCTGCAAAGTCAAGGCTGACTGCCTTGTTCATACAGCAGTGGTATAACACACCTCTGACATGTACCTTTTTATAGACATGAATACAAAAAACTCTAAGTGGCATGTCTTTCAAAAGTGAATAGAAATTGACCTAGACATTAGAAGTAATTATATAAAAAATATATTTGGTAGGCTACATTATGATGGTATACTACATAAAATTTACTTTTTGTTTCATGATTTGACCTTGTTTTTTACAATAGTAAGTCTATGTGATTGTTTCACACTTAATAGATATTCATAACATAGGAGGAGGCTGCTATGTTGTGGTGGGAAGATCTGGGACCAGAAGTCCAAAATATTTCTCTTTGCTTGCCAGGGCCTGTCATTCTGCCCACTGTCCCCCTCCACCCCTAAAATCCAAAGCCTAATCTGAACACAGATTTTGGATATGTATGGTCAAATGGCCTGGTCTACTATAACTTTCCTCCCCTCTCTGTTGTAGAGAAACCCAATACAGCTGGCTATGACTCAGCTAGACAGGAAAGAGGTTTCTGACATTGCTGATGTCAGCAGAGTTGAGGTCAGTGAGAAACTAGTTGAAAGGTATGCATGGCTGGGAAGGTTTTCTTTTCTTTTAAAAAATATTTTATTTTTTATTTAAAGGTTTAATACATTTAAAAAAGATTTTATTTGCTTATTTTTAGAGAGGGGAGAAAGGGGAAAGAAAGAGAGAGAAACATCAATGTATGGTTGCCTCTTGCACACCCTCTAATGGGGACCTGGCCTGCAACCCAGGCATGTGCCCTGACTGGGAATTGAGCCGGTGACCCTTTGGTTCACTCAATCCACTGAGACACAGCAGCTAGGGCAAGGGAAGGTTTTCTTTAAATATCTGCTTGATAAAAAAATAGCAGATAAAGCATGAAAGGAGAGTGTTAAAGTCCACACTGCTAAAGATGGGCAAAATGTTTCCAAACTCTATTGCATGTAAATATTTTCCTTGTTGTCAGTGTTGATGAATGTTGTTTAAGTTCAAGTCCACACACATGGTGGTATCAGAGATACTCTGATTGCAAAAGAATACCCCTTATTAGTGCTTTAAAAAGAAAGCTAACAAACTGAAAATCAACCTTACACAAAGAAAAATAAACTTTCATCTACTCACAAGCATTTTTTGCAGCTGTTCTACTGTTTGGTTAGCCACACTGATGCCATTGATTTCTCGAATTTCATCACCAACATGAAGTGTACCTAAATTACACAAAATTATAAACATGAAATGATAGATACTTTTGTAGTAATAAACTCCAAAGCTAGAAATGTAACTAATTAAAAAAAACTAAGCTAAATATTGAAGTCCAATATTTCAGAAACAGGTACAAGTTTGGCCCATGTAGTAAACTCCAAAACAGATACATCTACTACGAAAGACACAGTTTTGAAAGATGGTTGTGGAAATCTACTAATTTTTCTGAGAGAGGCAGTGTATATAGTGGTTTAAAAGCACAGCCTCTATCAGAGGTGTCAAACTCATTTTCACCGGGGGCCACATCAGCCTCATGGTTGCCTTCAAAGGGCCAAAATAATTTTAGGACTGTATAAATGTAACTACTCCTTAACTGTTAAGGAGTTGAAGTTACATTCGGCCCTTTGAAGGCAACCACAAGGCTGATGTGGTCCCCGGTGAAAATGAGTTTGACATCCCTGCTCTAGATCCAGCCTATCTGGGTACAAATCCCAGCTTCATCACTTACTGGCTTTAAGATCTTGGGTAAGTTACTGAAACTCTCCATGTCTCAGTTTTCACATTTATAAAGTGGAGATGAAAACAGTACCTATCTCATAGGACTGCTGTGAGAATTAAATGAGTTTAATACATGTAGAGGGCTTAGAATGGTTTATAGCACATAGTAAGTACCATTTAAGTGTTTCCTCCTATTATCTACCAAATATGATACAAAGGCTCTTGATTTTAAAAGAATTGTGATATAATACCTATGTAACACTAAACTTAGACATATGGCAATCTTTTAAAAATAAATTGAGGGGCATTTTAGCATCATGTAATACTTTAAGTGGAAAAAGTGACTAAGAACCAGTGCATAAATAGAATATTACATAGAATTTTGCCTCCTTATTTATAAACTATGCACATTTACATACTGGCCTGACTTTATGAAAAGCTCACAGTGTCTTTTATAGGCATATCCTAAAATGCATATAAATAAAATCAGATGCCTTGGATTTGCTTCAAAATAACCTAGGAGAGTGGGCAGTTGGGCAAGTACAGATGAAACCAGTGTGACCATGAGTTAACAATAATTCTAGCTGGGTTATGGGTATGTGGGTGATCAATGTACTAATCCCTTCACTTTTTGCTACTTGAACTCATTGCACTGTTCTGTCTACTCAATGTTTGGAAAATTAACATAATACCCCCAAACTCTGGGGACTTTTGCTCCCAATATGGCTGATTAGTCACTCAAAGAATTTCTCACAACTATATCCTGCTTAGGACACACCTCTTGAAGTGTTACTGGTCTCACAAAAGGAGTGCAAACCCCTAAGAACACTTCCTACTTCCATCCCTATTCTCCCCTTCACACAAAAGAACCCTGTGTGCTTGATCCAAAGTGGTGGCAAACTAAGGGTAGAATGAAATAGTGGGAAGGGTGAAGGCTATAGTAGCAATGTCTGCTAGCTGGATTCTGAGCACTGGGCTAAGTTAGAAAAGCTGAGGCTGGGTTGCTGTAGGAGGCCAAGACCCAGATCAGTGGCACTCTATGGCAACTGGTACAACAAGGAACAAACCCTCTCTGGAGGAAAGCATATCTAGTTTAGTCCCACAGGACTTCCTTCAGTTAGACAAGCAATGAGCTCAATAGTCAAAGATCACCAAACAAACAACAAAGAAAACTACTATGCGAGTCATAAGAAACAGGAAAAACAGATTGAGATCCTCAAGGAGGAGAGATATTGGAATGGTCAGATGCAGAATATAAAAGAGCTATGTATTAAATATTGGAACAAAATGCCTGGCTGGCGTAGCTCAGTGGCTTGAGCGTGGGCTGTGAACCAAAGTGTCGCAGGTTCGATTCCCAGTCAGAACACATGCCTGGGTTGCAGGCCACGGCTCCCAGCAACCGCACATTGATGTCTCTCTCTCTATTTCTCCCTCTCTCTTTCTCCCTCCCTTCCCTCTCTAAAAAAAAAATAAATAAAATCTTAAAAAAAGAACAAAATAAAAGGACCCAGTTGGCAAGGATGAGCATGCAACAAGAGATTATCAGGTGAGAACAGACAGATGTGAAAATAAAAATAAGAACAAATGTTTAGTACTTTCAGAAAAAAAAATATAACTGGTGGTATAAACCAATATGGCTGAAGAGAGAGTTTCAGTGAACTGGAAGATATAACTAGATAAATTATCTATACTGCACATCAGAGAAAAAACAAAATAAGGAGAATAGGAAGGAAGAAATTAAAAAATAGGAAAAAGATATTAACAAACATGGAGGGAATGTTTAACATACTTCTACCTGGAGGTTAGAAAAAGAGAACAGAGGAAATGAAAAAGAGGCAATATTTGAAGAAATAATGGTTGCAATTTTTCTTTTTTAAAAAACATTTATTTATTTATTTTTAGAGAGAGGGGAAAGGAAGGAAAAAGGGAGAGAAATATCAATGTGTGGTTGCTTCTCTTGCACCCACTACTGGGGACCTGGACCACAACCAAGGCATGTGCCCTGACTAGGAATTGAACCGGAAACCCTTTGGTTTGCAGCCCATGCTCAATCCACTGAGCTACACCAGCCAGGGTGGTTGCATTTTTTCTTTTTGTTTAAAAGACTTTATTTATTTAGTTTTAGATTTCTCAATATAATACAGTGGATGCCAGAACATAACAGAATGGTCATCAACCTAAACTTATGCTTTCAGAAAAAATAATCTTCAATACTGAGGCTGAAATAAATATTTAGAGATGAACACCACCTAAGAGGGTTTGTCAACAAGATACTAACAGTAAAGGAACTTCTGAGGATGTACTTTAGAAAGAAGGAAAATCTTCCCCCAACGATGGTTGGAAATAAAAGGATGAAAGAAGACATGCTACCAAAAACAAAACTAAGGCTGGAATAACAATATTAATATTAGATAAAATAAACTTTAAGTAGAAAGTATTATTAAGGATAATGCTTACCAGGTACTTCTATATACCTAATAAATATGTAAATATACAAAGCTAAAATAAAGAGATATATAGGTAGAAGTAAAAAAATTCTACTATGATAATAACATATTTAAACAATTATTGATAGGTCAAACAGACAAAAAATAGTCAAGATATAGAAGATCTGAACAAAAAATTAACCCTAAGCCTATCATTATATGAGAACTGTTCATATAATTAAAGAATAAACATTTTTCTTAAGTACACACGGACCATTTACAAAGTGATAAAGTGCTATGCTGTACTCTACATTCCCATAACTATTTTGTGGCTACCAATTTGTACCTCTTAATCCCTTCACCTTTCTCACCCAGCCTCTCATCCCCCCTCCCCTCTGGCAACTGTTAGTCTGATCTTACCATTCAATTTTATATTGTCATTTATCAAACTCTAATTTCCTAATTTCTAAATAGTATGTCTCAACAAACCTCAAAGAATGGTGACACACAGACCATATTTTCTGACCACAATGCAATTAAGTTAGAAGTAAATCATAAAAAGATATATAGAAAATCTTAAATGTTTTTAAAAATAACACTTCTAAGTGACTTATGGGTCAATGAAAAATATCACAGTAGAAATTTAAAAAAACTTAGAATTGAATCACAATAAAAATGCTTAATATCAAAACTGGTGGGATACAGATAAAATAATACTTAGAGAGGTAGAGTTTAGTCTTAAATGCATATATTAGAAATGAAGAAAGACTGAAATAAATGAACCATCTAAAAAAAAGGTAGATAAAACCAATAGAAAGAAGAATGAACAAAATGTATTTTGCCATGTACGATGTGCATCCATGATTTTGTGCACATTATACATGGGATTATTATACCCATGGTACGTAATCATTAGACCCATATATAATGTGCATCCTTAGTTTTCTCTCAGCAATTTCGACAAGAAACTACATTATACATTGCAAACATTAAGTCATATAACAATGAAATAGAAAATAAACATATAGAAAAAAAAAGGAACTTCTGGCCAAGATGGAGGCATAGGTAGATACACTTCACTTCCTCACACAGCCCAAAGAAGGACAACAAATTTAAAAACAAAAACCAAAAAGAACTTCCAGAAAATCAAACTGTATAGATGTCCTACAACCAAGGAGTTAAAGAAGAAACATACATCCAGACAGGTAGGAGGGGTGGAGACAGGCAGCTAGGGCAGAGAGGATGCATGGCAAGGTGGTGGCTGGAGGACTGAGTGTCCCACTTTCACCTGCAGATAAACCGGAGGGGAACAACTGGGGAGCAAGACAGACTGCACAACTCTGGGTTCCAGCACATGGAAATAAAGCCTCAAAATCTCTGGCTGCAAAATCCTGAGGGGGATGCAGCGGCAGGAGAAACTCCCAGCCTCATAGGAGAGTCTGTTGGAGGGGCCTATGGGCTCCTAGAATATACACAAGCCCACACACCTGGGAATCAGCACCAGAAAGACCCAATTTGCTTGTGGATAGTGGAGGAAGTGATTGAAAGCAGGGGGAGAGCCAAGTAAGCGGCTTTGTTCCCTCTCTGACCCCTCCCCCACATACAGTGCCATAACTCTATGAAGTGGGTTGCCCCACCCTGGCAAATACCTAAGGCCCCACCCCTTATAATGTAACAGGTGTGCTGAGACAAAGAAATATGGCTCAAATGAAAGAACACATCAAAACTCTAGAAAAAGAACTAAGTGACAAGTAAATAGCCAACCTATCAAATACAGAGTTCAAAACACTGGTAATCAGGATGCTCAGAGAAATGACTGAGTACAGACACAAAATAAAGGAAGAAGTGAAAGCTAAGTGAAATAAATAAGAATATACAGAGAACCAACAGTGAAGGCGAAGAAACCAGGACTCAAATCAATGATTTGTAACAGAAGGAAGAAATAAACATTCAACTGGAACAAAAAGAAGAAACAAGAATTAAAAAAATGAGGAGAGGCTGAGGAACCTCTGGGACAACTTTAAACGTTCCAATATGCAAATCATAGGGGTGCCAGGAGAAGAGGAAGGGCAAGAAATTGAAAACTTATTTGAAAAAATAATGAAGGAAAACTTCCCCAATCCAGTGAAGGAAATAGACATGCAAGTCCAAAAAGCTCAGAGAGTCTTAAAGAGGAACACAACAAGACACATCATAATTACATTACCCAAGATTAAAGATAAAGAGAGAATCTTAAAAGCAGCAAGATAAAAGGAGAGAGTTACCTACATAGGAGCTCCCCTAAGGCTATCAGCTGATTTCTCAAAAGAAACCTTACAGGCAAGGCCTGGGTTGATGTGGCTCAGTGGACTGAGTGCCAGCCTGTGAACCAAAGGGTTGACAGTTGGATTCCCAGTTGGGGCACATGCCTGGGTTGTAGGCCAGGTCCCCAGTGGGGGGTGTGTGAGAAGCAACCACACACTGATGTTTGTCTTCCTCTCTTTCTCCCTCCCTTCCCCTCTATCTAAATATAAATAAAGAAAACCTTTAAAATAAAATAAAATAATAAAAAAAGAAACCTTACAGCCAAGAAGGGAGTAGAAAGAAGTATGCAAGTCATGAAAAGCAAGGACCTACATCCAAGATTACTCTATCCAGCAAAGCTATCATTTAGAATGGAAAGGCAGATAAAGTGCTCCCCAGATAAGGTTAAGCTAAAGGAGTTCATTATCACCAAGCCCTTATTATATGAAATGTTAAAGGGACTTATCTAAGAAAAAGAAGAAGTTCAAAACTATGAACAGTAAAATGACAACAAACTCACAATTATCAACAACTGAACCTAAAAAACAAAAACAGAAACTAAGCAAACAACTAGAACAGGAAAAGAATTACAGAAATGGAGGTCATGTAGAGGGTTATCAGTGGGGAGAGAGTGGGGGAAATGGTACAGGGAATAAGAAGCATAGATGGTAAGCACAAAATAGACAGGGAGATGTTAAGAATAGTATAGGAAATGGAGACGACAAAGAACTTACATGTATGAGCCATGGACATGAACTAAGGGTGGGGAATGTTGGAGGGAGGGGTGGTGCAGGGTGGAAAGAGGTAAAGGGAAGAAAAAAAATGGGACAACTGTAACAGCATAGTCAGTAAAACGCACTTAAAAAAAGAAATATACAATGAACAGAAGTTAAAGTGGGTGTTTGAATAAACCTGTGGAAAAGGTGATTAAGAGAAAAAGGACACGGAACAAGTAAGGCATATTAGGAATAAACAAGGGGACAATTATAGAGATGACAGAAAATAAAAAGTAAGGGAACATTATGAAGAAACTTACTGCAATAATTTTAAAAATTTTAAGATTTTTAAGGAAAATGTAATTTACCAAAACCCAGAGAGGATACAGAAAACCTGAATAGCCTTATGGATGTTAAAGAAATTGCAGTTGTAAAAAAAAATAAAAGCTTTCCTAAATACCAAACAAAAACAAAACACTAGGCTCTGATAGTTTTACAGGCAAGTTATACTAAACTTTACAGGTATGAAACATTCCAATGTTATAGAAAGTCTTTCAGAGAACTCATGAAGAAAAAAGGCTATCTAAGTCATTCTATGAAGCTAAAGTAACTTCAACACTAAAGCAAGGCAGAGAAACACAAGAAAGAAAAATTAACTACAGGCCAGTCTCAATCATAATTGCAAATACAAAGTCCTAAACAAAATGTTAGCACACAGAGTTGAATAGTATATATAAAAGATAATCTACAATGACTAAGCTGGGTTTATCTAAGATATGCAAGGGAGTCTAATCATGAGGAAATCTTTAAAAGTCACCCCCACATTAATAGATATAAGGGAAAAAACCAAATGCTCATCTTAACAGATGCAGAAACTGCACTTGATAAAATTCAATACCCAATCATAATTAAAATGCTCAGCAACTAAGAATAAAAGGGAACTTCTTCAGCCCTAATAAAATGTTATCTACTAAAAAATGTACAGTAAATGTTAGTCTTCATGAGGAAACATTGGAAAGCTACTTTTTAAAAACAAGAATAGGACAAGGATGTTCATTTTACCACTTCTATTAGACAGCAGACAGCAGATCCTAGCCAGTGCAGTCATATAAGAAAAAGAGATTAAAGAAATAATGATATTGTGACTTTTCTGAGGTTACAGCAAATTATTAAAAATAATAAACAAAAAATTTATACTGGGATCGAAAACCAAACATGCTCCTATGTGAATGCTGTCATTCCTAAGCCTATAATGATTCCCCCAAAGGCAGCATAATGCCAGATACCATCTGTGTACACAAACGGTCATCTCTAAAGAGGACAAGAAGGCACTTAAACACTTATGGTATTACTTCTTGCTCTCTGGGGTGAAGGAAATAAGGTGTTAAGAACAAAAATAACCTGACATCAAAGAAAGGAAGTCTAATTTTGGACAGCAGAATGATTTTGGGATTACACTCTAAGTACTAGTGCATATAACTCAGCCCTTTCACAGAGAAGCCTAAATCTACATGTCCAAATCCGGCCCATCCGAAGGTTAATGAAAATTCCACTTTCTCAACAAAGTCATTTTTTGTCTACTTCAGTCCTTAGTGAATTCACTCCTCAGAATGACTGTACTTTACTGTAGCAGGTATTAAAAACTTAATCAAATATTTGATATCTCTTATTTTACCACTGAATTAAATATATTTTTTTCAATTACAGTTGACATTCAATATTATTTTGTATTAGTTTCAGGTGTATAGCACAATGGTTAGACAATCATATACTTTACAAAGTCGTCCCTGTGATATTTCAAGTACCCACCTGGCACCATACATGGTTATTACAATATTATCGACTATATTCCCTATGCTGTACTTTATATCCTGTCACTATTTTGTGACTACAGATTTGTAACTCTTAATCCCTTCACCTTTTTCACTCAGCGTCCCTTCCCCCCTCCACCAACTCCTCTCCCTTCTGGCAACCATCAGTTTAATCTTACCACGGAATTTTTATGTTGTTATTTATGAAACTCTAATTTCTTTTTTTTAATTTAAAAAAATTTTATTTATTTATTTTTAGAGAGGGAAGGGAGGGAAATAGAGAGAGAGAGAAACATCAATGTGCAGTTGCTGGGGGTCATGGCCTGCAACCCAGGCATGTACCCTGACTGGGAATCAAACCTGAGACATTGTGGTTTGCAGCCCGTGCTCAATCCACTGAGCTACGCCAGCCAGGGCTAAACTCTAATTTCTTAATTTATAAACAGTACATGTCATTTCTGAATGACTATAGAACAATTCTTGAACTGTGATTTAACTTCTTTTTTTAAACAATTTTTTTAAATTTTGAGAGGAATGGCTTTTAAAAAAAGATTTATTTATTTATATTTATTTTTAGAGAGGGAAGGGAGGGAGAAAGAGAGAAAGAGAAACATCAATGTGAGGTTGCTGGGGGCCGTGGTCTGCAACCCAGGCATGTGCCCTGGCTGGGAATCGAACCTGAGATACTTTGGTTTGCACCCGCACTCAATCCACAGAGCTATGCCAGCCAGGGCTGATTTAACTTCTTAAATATGTATCTTATATCCTAGAATAGATGTCTACCATATATCCTATGGCCCAATAGGATACTTTGCTTTATCTTTCATGGTCTCTAATAAGTCAGGACTAAACAGTGGTTCACAGATGCTCCAGCAGAAATGAAGGCCAATAAAGATTAAAACCAAGAGAAACTTAAATAGATTACTTATATAGACTATATATTTAACAGATCTTTTATGTAGATCATAAAAACACTTTCTTCACTAGGCTACAGGAAAAAAAGTTAATGAAGGAAAGAAAGAATCATATGTGAAACTTACCTTGCCTGTGAATCATGCCCCCATGCATAATTCTTGCAACAATACAGTGATTTAGCTCATTCATTTTTAAAGTGATTCCCTGTAAAAAGTAAAAATAGAATTACTATGAGATGGCACTTGTTTTTAATTTTTTAATCCTGACCCCTAAATTAGTTTATTCATTTTAGAGAGAGAGGAAGGGACAGGGAAAGAGAGAAACAAACATCGATGTGAGAGAGAAACATCAATTGGCTACCTTCTGTAGGCACCCCGACCAAGGGATCAAACCCCCAACCTTTTGGTGTACAGGACAATGATCCAACCAACCAAGCCACCCAGGGGGGCTGGCACTTGTTTTTATATTTTTGATTTTGCTGTAATTTTAATTACAAAAGGTAGGAAAACATTAAAGAAAATATTGATAATGGAGGAGAAAACCATTCATTACTACACCGTGCCATGAGAAAATTACTCTGGGTATTTTGATTGCTATAATAACAGTATACATACATTTTATATAGTGTCTTACAATCTTCTAATTGTATTTCCCATGTTTTATTTTTCATGTTTTTAATCATTTTAAAAGTTTTAATTGATGTATAACTGGCATATAGTTATTTAAAGAGTACAATTTGATAAGTTTGATGATGTATGTCTATATGTGCGAAAACATCACCACAATCAAGAGAGTGAATATATCCACCACCCCCAAGAGTTTCCCCATGCCTGCTGGTAATCTACTCCCATCCCTCTACGCCCTGCCCCCTCATCCCCAAACAACTAACTGATAGGCTTTTGCTGGCATATAAATAAACTCATACGATATGTACTCTTTTTTAAAATATTGAATGGATAAAATTCTCATTTTATTATTTAGTTTAAATTTAATTAATTTATTTTAAATTAAATTTATTGGGGCGACATTGGTTAACAAAAACCATATAGGTTTTAAATTTACAACTCAACAAAATATCATCTGCATACTGTGTCCATCATCGAAGGGAAGTTTTGTTGCGTTTTTTTCACTCACAATGTCAGATTCAACCCTTGTTGCACAAATCAATAGTCTATTGCTTTTCCTGAGTATTCCATTGTATGGACATACCATTTTGTTTATCCATTCACCCACTGAATTGTTTCTAGCATTCGGCTATTATAAACAAAGCTGTATTCCTGTGTTAATTTCCGCTTTGTTTTGACATCGTCGTTGCCTTCTTCTTCATTTAAGACATGGAGTTGTTTAGAATTTTTGTATCTATATTCAAGGGGGTTACTGGTCTGTAGTTTTGTAGTAATGCCTTTGTCTGGTTTGGGGGGGTATCAGGGGGGTACCAGCCTGATGATGACGATGATGATACTAGTAACAAAAACTAAGTTGGAAGAATTCCTTCCTTTTTAACGGTTTGGAAAGTTTGTGTAGAACTGGTGTTATTTCTTTTAAAATTATTATTCATTTCAATTTTTTAAAAAATTATATTTTATTGATTATGCTATTGCAGTTGTCCCAATTTTTCCCCCTTTGCCTCCTTCCACCCAGTCCCCCCCCCCAGGCAATTCCCATACCACTGCTCATGTCTATGGGTCATGTGTGTGAGTTCTTTGGCTATTCCATTTCCTGTACTGTACTTTACATCCCCATGTCTGTAGCTCTGTAACTACCTCTTTGTGCTTCTTAATCCCCTCACCTCTTCACTCATTCCCCCACACCCCCTCCCACCTAGCAGTCATCTAAACGGTCTCCATACCCATGATTCTGTCTCTGCTCTTCTTGTTTGCTTAGTTTGTTTTTTAGATTCGATTGTTGATTATGTATATTTTGCTATTTAATTTTTCATATTTTTTATCTTTTTTAAGATTTTATTTATTTATTTTTAGAGAGGGAAGGGAGGGAAGGAGAGTGAGAGAGAGAGAGAGAGAGAGAGAGAGAGAGAGAGAGAGAGAGAGAGAGAGAGAGAGAGAGAAAGAGAGAAACATCAATGTGTGGTTGCTGGGGGTCATGGACTGCAACCCAGGCATGTACCCTGACTGGGAGTCGAACCTGCGACACTTTGGTTCTCAGCCTGTGCTCAATCCACTGAGCTATGCCAGTCAGGGCCTATCTTCTTTTTTTTAATGAGTCCTTTTAACATTTCATATAATAATGGTTTGGTGATGATGAACTCCTTTAGTTTTTTCTTGTCTGGGAAGCTCTTTATCTGTCCTTCAATTCTAAATGATAGCTTTGCTAGGAAGAGCAATCTTGGCTGTAGGTCCCTGCTTTTCATGACTTTGAATATTTCTTAGAATCCCTTCTACCTGCAAAATTTGTTTTGAGAAATCAGCTGACAGTCTTATGGGAACTCCTTTGTAGGTAATTATCTATTTTTCTTTTGCTGCTTTTAAGATTCTCTCTTTATCTTTAACCTTTGGCATTTTAATTATGATGTGTCTTGGAGTGGGCCTCTTTGTATCCATCTTGTTTGGGACTTTTCTGTGCTTCCTGGACTTGCATATCTATTTCCTTCACCAAATTAGTGACATTTTCTTTCATTACTTTTTCAAATAGATTTTCAATTTCTTGCTCTTTGTCTTCTCCTTCTGGTACCCCTATGACGTGACTGTTGGACCTCTCGAAGTTGTCTCAGAGGCTGCTTATATTCTCATTTTTTTGGATTCTTTTTTCTTCTTATTGTTCTGATGGGTTGTTTTTTGCTTTGTTATATTCCAAATCATTGATTTGATTCTTGGCTTCATCCACTCTACTGTTGTTTCCCTATAAATTGTTCTTTATTTCAATTAGTTTATCCTTTGTTTCTGACTGGATCTTTTTTATGCTGCTGAGGTCCTCACCTTGAGTATCCTTACAACCAGTGTTTTGAACTCTGCATCTGATAGATTGTTTATCTCCATTTTGTTTAGTTCTTTTTCTGGAGTTTTAATCTGTTCTTTCATTTGGGCCATGTTTCTTTGTCTCCTTATTTTGGCAATCTCCTTGTGTTTGTTTCTATGTATTAGGTAGAGCTGCTTTGACTCACTGTCTTCATAGTGTGGCCTAATAGTAGGTGTTCTGTAGGGTCCAGAGGTGCAGTCTCCCCTATCACCCACGTTGGGTACTCAGGGTGCACCCTTCATGTGGGCTGAGTACACCCTCCTCTTGTAGTTGAGACTTGGGTGCTGTTGGCAGGTCAATGGGAGGGATTTACCCAGGCCAGTCAGCTGGAAGGTTTGGCTGTGACCACTGACCACCCACCTCCACCTTCCATGGAAGATGAGCTGTGCAGGAGCAGGGTGGTGGTGCTCTGGCATGGTCTGCAGCTGTCTACTGGGTGCATAGGTTCTGGGGTTTCCCAAGTGGTACAGACCAAGGTCAGCTCCCACTTGTGTTTTGCCTGGAGCCACCTGCCTGAACTATGAAGCAATCTGAGATGGCTGCTACTTGTGCTGGACTTGGAGATTCACAGGTAAAGCCAAGCTGTGAATCTAGGCTGGCTGCTGCTAGTCCAGGCCTGGGGCCACTTAGCTGTTACTTGTTTGAGAGATTTAGGAAGTTGTGAAGCATGAGCCAAGACCAGCCATTCATTTGGAAAAGTCATGGTTAACAGCTTGGGTGGGCCTGCAAATTGGGTGGGATGGAGTCTCAAGGAATCTCCAGGACAGGGCAAACCGTGTTAGCCAGGTTGATGGAGTCTCAGATATGGCACCCACCTGCTGGCTCTGTGGCTCCATGGTAGGAGGGCTCAGAAAAGTGACAATGGCCTCTGCCCATCTTTTTGTCTGGGAGAAAGCTGTCTGCCAGCTGCCAGCTTGATGCCAGACACTACAGTTCCTCACTTTATGTCACTGGTGCCTTTCAAGTTGCTACCCAGGTGCTAGAGCTCAGAGAGAGTAAGTACATCTGAGTAAGTCCATGTGTGGGTTCTTTAAGGAAAACTGCTTGGGACTCCACAAGTTTTTCCCATGGACTCAATCCCTGCTTGTTTTTGCAGCCAGAAGTTATGAGGTCTTATCTTTCTGGCATTGGACCCTGGGCTGGGGGTCCCAGTGTAGGGTTGGGACTCCTCGCCCCCAAGATATCTCTCCCAAATTTTTATCCACCAATTGTGGGTGTGGGACCAGCCTATTCTGCATCTCCACCCCTCCTACCAATCTGGATGATGTGGTTTCTTTAATTCCTTGGTTGTCAGATTTCCATTCAACTCAATTTGTGACAGTTCCGAGTGATGGTTGTTGTATATTTTAGTTATAATTTTACGTGGTTATGTGAGGAGGTGAGTCGAGTTTACCTATGCTGCCTTCTTGACCAGAAGTACCTGGTGTTATCTCTTTAAACAATCTTGGCCTGGAGTTTTCTCTGAGGCACTGTTTTTAACTACAAATTTAACTTTTAAATAGTGTAGGGCAACTGTTTACTCCTTAAGTGAGTTTTGGTAGTTTCTGCCTTCCAAGGAATTTATCCATTTTATCTAAGTTGTTGAAATTACTAACATGAAGTTATATTTCCTTATTATCCTTTTTATATCTGTAGAATTTGTAATAATGTTGCCTCTCAAATGCATGATATTGGTAATTAGTCTTTTTTCCCACTGATCAGCCTGATCTTCTCAAAGAAAAGGTCATTGATTTTTCTCTATTAAAAATATTTTATTGATTATGCTATTACAGTTGTCTCAATTTCCCCCCCTTAGCTACCCTCTTCCTGGTACCCCCATTCTCTCCAGCAATCCCTCTCCCCTTAGTTCATGTCCATGGCTCATACGTATAAGTTCTCTGCCTTCACATTTCCTCTACTGTTCTTAACAACTCCCTGTCTATTTTGTACCTACCAATTTTTGCTTCTTAATCCCTGCACCTTTCCCCCATACTCTCTGCCTTCCCCCTCCCAGCTGATAAGCCTCCCAAGTGATCTCTATAGATATAATTCTGTTCCTGTTCTGGTTGTTTGCTTGGTTTGTTTTTTTAGATTCAGTTGTTGATAGTTGTGAATTTGTTGCCATTTTATTTTTCATAGTTTTGATCTTCTTTTTCTTAGATAAGTCCCTTTAACATTTCAAATAATAATGGCTTAGTGATGATGAACTCCTTTAGCTTTACCTTGTCTTGGAAGCACTTTATCTGCTCTTC